GGCCCATAGAGCCCATGTGATGGGTTTCAGGGGGTGCACTGTCCATAACAGTGTATTCGGCCAGGCCTTGTAATAAAGGTTGGGCTGAACCCATGTGGTTGATGTGTATATCAATGTTTGGGTCCCACGCCATACAAGGAAGCCCAACTGGGCAGTAGTTTGTAAGGCTAAGTGAGCACATAACCCTATTGGGCCTAAAGCCCATTTCGAACTGGGCTGATTTGATCTGTTAAATGAGGGTCGAATTCTAAGACTAGATTAGCAGATAGGATTGGGTCTTAACCCTATCCACTCAGAGAGTCTGATCTGAATGTGATTCAGATCTGAAAACCTACTAATAGGATTAGGAGGGGCCTGATCTAATCTGCAGATAAGATAAGGGTTTACCCTTATCACTTAAAGGGATCTGATCCAAATATGATTTAGATCAGCAACTCCTAAGCTTATAAAAGGAGGAGGGGGCGGCAGCTTTTAGTAGATACATATTCACATCCTCTTCAGAGCTGAAATCACAGAAGAGAGAATTCAGCATTACTGCGCTTAATCTCTCTTGTCGTCTCCTTCTTGCCGCCGCCATATCTGCCAGTTCGATCTCCTGTTCTCAGTGGGGGTGGTCAAGATTGGATCTTGATATCAGTCCTTTGTGAAAGGGATGATTGGAAGTAGTGCTCACATGCCATCCAACTGATTCTTGAAAAGGATCTGGTTCTTTTGAAGAACGTTGTTGATCCTGCTCCATCCTGCACGGCGCCATCTTCAGTGGGAGCAGTTTTTTGTTCCTTCCTTGGGCGTGAACACCTCCATTGGGAGATATTATTTCTCCGTATCAGGTATATCCCTCTCCTACAGATTTCTTTCAGATCTGGTTCGGTTCTTAGTTCAAGATTGATCCTTGAAAAATATGATTTTTCTAAAATAGGGAATACGATTCCCAGTAGGATGGAGAGAAATTTTTGAAATTCGCCCATTCTATTCCGCAAGACTCGGGCGTCCATACGATGGACCAAGAAAATAATGCAATGTGCCAAGATCCTTCACAGGAAAGACAGTAGAGATCTGCTGAAAGAGAGATGAAACAGCAAATGGAGAATTGCCAGTAACAATGATATCATCGACATACACCAAGATGTAAACAATAGTAGACGTATTCTTGTAAATAAATAAAGAAGGATCAGCCATAGAGTTGTGAAAACCCAAATGAAGAAGAGTGGAAGCCAAACAAGAATACCAGGCACGAAGGGCTTGCTTGAGTCCATACAGGGCCTTCTTCAGCTTGTAGACATAGTCTGGGTAGTCTAGATGTTCAAACCCCTTGGGTTGGCGAACATAGATGTCATTTGCAATAAGTCCATGAAGAAAAGCATTGTTGATGTCCAGTTGTCGTATAGACCACCAATGAGTAGTGGAAAGAGCTAAAATGGTACGAACAGTTATTGGTTTGACTATCAGGCTGAAGGTATCAGTGAAATCAACGCCAGGTACCTAATGAAAACCTTGAGCAACAAGTCTGGCCTTGTTCCGCTCCAAAGAACCGTCTGATTTCCTCTTAACTTTATATACCCATTTAGTACCAACTACGTTCATGGAAGAATGATACAACATGAAATCCCATGTTTGATTTTTCAAAAGAGCATCAAACTCCAGTTGCATAGTCAACCTGCATTGGGGAGACTTGGCTGCATCTGTATAGGAGCAGGGCTCCGTTTTAGAGGAGAAAGAATTAAGTAAGGCAGTTGGAATGGGATACCGAGTGGTGAGATGTGATCGAGCAGGGAGAGTGCCATCCTTAGAACGAGTGGTCATAGGATGCTGTCGAGTGGGTGGTGGTACAGCTGGTGTGTGTGCCAACAAATCCTCCATCGTACAAAAACGTTGCTGCCTACGGACAGGAGCTTGTACGGGAGAAGGGTTATCAGTCGAACTGGAAGTGGTCCGATCAGGAAGAGGTGCTGCATCTGGAGGCTGAACTGAAGGCGGAGAGACCTAAGATGCTATGAGATGTGAAGGTACATGTATATAGAATCCCGATTGAGCTACTGTACTGGTGGGTGATGGAGCCGGAGGAATTCCAGGAAATAGTCTTTCATCAAATATCACATGGCGGGCAATAAATTCTCGACCAGTCGACGGGTGAAGGCACATGTACCCTTTATGAAAATGACTATAACCAAGGAAAATACACTGCAAAGAACGGTACTAGAACTTATGAGCATTGTATGGTCGCAGAAGGGGATAATAGGCGCATCCAAAACACCGTAGCATAGTGTAGTCTGTAGTCTTATGAAACAACTTCTGAAAAGGAGATGAACCTTGCAAAGTGGGAGACGGGAGCCAATTTATCAAATATACGGTTGTCTCTACTGCATCGGCCCAAGAGGAGAAGGGGAGCTTGGAGGTAGACAGTAGAGCGAGAGTGGATTCAATAATGTGACGATGTTTCCTCTCAACTGTACCGTTATGTTCATGTGTGTGCGGACAGGACACCCGATGGGAGATACCCTATGAGTCAAGATAAGAAGAGAGCTTGCGATACTCCCCTCCCCAATCAAATTGAAAAACACGAATTTTGGACTTGAAGAACAATTCAACATGGCATTTAAATTTTGAAAAGACCTCAAAGACATCAGATTTTCATGCTAAGGGATATATCCAAGAAAATTTTGAATGATCATCAAGAAATAACACATAGTAAGAATACCCTTTATTAGACTTAACTGGGGAAGGACCCCACACATCAGAAAAAATTAGTTTCAAAGGACTCTGAGACCTAGACGAAGACAAAGGTAAAGACAAGCGATGACTCTTACCCATTTGACAAGATTCAAAAACAAATAAACTAGAATTTTGACCAGAATATGGTAAACCATACTGAGAGACAACTTGTTGGACCGTACAAAGTGTTGCATGACCAAGACACTAATGCCAACCTTGAAGATTTGTCTATTCACCGACAAGAGCAGAAGGTGCAGTTGTCGAGATGTGTGAAATGGATGTTGTTGATGGGAAGCAATGCAACCCTCCTCTACTGACTCCACGAAACAGGATTTTTCCTGTATAGTTCTTCACAAAGCAACAGTCATGGTGAAACTCAAAAAATATATCGTTCTCCTTTGTAAACTTGCTAACGGACAATAAATTTTTGTAGACTGCAGGAACATGGCATATATCAATCAATGTGAAAGCATGCTAAATAAAGAGAAGAGATGAAGAGCCAGTATGTTTTATTTGCAAACATTGGCCATTACCCACTATTACCTGATCTAAACCCTAGTATTCCGACCGATTTTGGATGTTATCAGCATCGAATGTCATGTGATGTGTTGTGCTAGAGTCCAGATACCAAGTTGGATCAAATGAAGAATTACCATTGTTGTAGGAAGGTGCAGTGTGACTATTGTAGGCGGCAGGTTCATAATTTCGCTCACTCTTATTTGCAAAAATGTAAGCGCACCATGTCCAGGTTTGTTGCAGATCTGACAAATAACTGGAGGTGCCTTACCTCGTCCACCATTAAAGAACTAATTTTGGTTGTAATTTTGTTAAGAATTATAATTCTAAAAGTTTTGTTGTTGACCTCGCCTTCGGCCTTTACCGTGGCCATACATATTCTGAGATTCTTTTTTGCTAATTCTGGAACCCTGTATTATTTTTCAGTTTCACTCAAGCTACATTAGCAGCTGATGAAACACCTGAATCTGGCGACGTAAGTCCTTGCTCTTCGAGCCAACTCGCATGATTCARAAGATAGCCAATAATATCATGCACACCAAGGGTATGCGCATCTGGTCTGTCACAACGGACTCATATTCATTGCCTAATCCAACTAGAATATATAAAACCAAATCAGATTTACGAACAAGTTCAGCAACAATAGACAAACTGTTCGCTATAGATTTTGCTTTTTGAATGTAAGCAGAAATAGATAAAGACCTTCTTTAAATTGTGCAACTGTTTCCTAAGTTGCAAGATGTGAGATCTCGCATGAGTTGAGTAAGAAGTAACAAGAAAGCACCATACCTCTACTAAAGTCAAAAATTCCACAACTTGGGCCATGACACCCTCAGTAAGAGAAGAAATTAACCAACTTAAACAAGTTGATCAATGTCATACCAAGTACCACCATCAATAGTCAGAATTTTTCTATGACGGATTTGATGGTTCCAAGGTGATTTTTTCACGTGCACATAGACAATCTAAAGCCTCCCTGTTTTAATATAAAGAAAATCTATAATACAAGAAAGACATGATACCAAAAAAGTTTTAACCAATCAAAATCCACTCATGAGTTTTGATTTAAAAAAACACTAATTGACTACCACATTTATGATACCCGTAGATTGGTCAAAAAATTCAGATATCATATGTTTCCCATACATATCATAGTCGAATATAATTGGTCAAATTTCTTTCAGTGTCGAATTTGATTGGTCAAAAAGTCACCTGGTGGATAATACAAATAGATCAACAGGACCAGTGCCGAATGGAGAATTTACAGCGGCAACCGGTGCGATCAAACTCGACAACTTTCTTTTTGAACGCTGAAGCGACGAAAAAAAAAAAAAAGTATCTTTTTGAACGGGAAAGGAAATTCATTACTTCTCAGACGAGACAGGTATACAGATCAAACTGAATTAGCTTCTTAATATTCCATGGGGTCGAATCATCACTCCCTCTCTCCAACTATAGAATCCCTTTTCGAGCCTCAACAGCTATATATAGCAGCCCGTGTGCCGACAAGTGACTTGATTCAAGCATCCCGTATTCAATTTGCTGCTTCTACTGCCCTGGAATAGGGCATAAATTGTAAAACTCCCACCAACCCTACAATGGATAGTCTGTATTCTGACAAAAACAAGCACGTCAATTCCACCGACAACGAGACACCACATCAAAGAAATTGTGCGTCACATTCTTCCAACATTTTCCTCTACATAATTCCAGTGATGACAATGGCAAGTTTCCCACTATACAATCTTCATTATCCATCGCCCGGTTAGGAGATTTAAGCAACTAGCGATACACTATATCCGCATGTGTCTTTGGTTAGTCTTGGTAAGTGCCATGGAAAAGTAGTTACGGACCTCAGGAATTATGCGTTGTATCAGAAGAGAATGCCTGCAAGATTCAACCTAAACAGTGAGAAATGTCTTGACGCAATCCGCACAAAACTATGAAGTTGGCAAAGAGAGGGAAAAAACCATAAAAGACTGGTTCTATTACAATATACAGGGTCTGGCACCAGTAGTACGCCCAATTTTGATTTTTGTACATAATTTACTAATGCTGTAAGAATTACATTCATAAAATTTTACATAACTCATAATTCAATAATCAAAATAAAAGGAAAGTGGTTTCCTTGTTGGATCAATTAGGGAATCTCCCTTGCCAACCCCACATCAAAAATTTCAAATGGATGATAGTCTGATGTGGCCTGGAAAGGTGAGGCATAAACCTCAAGGATTTCAGGAAAGAAAATGGATAAAATTTAKAAGTTGTAAACTTACATAGAAAAAGAAAATCAATATTACATTGCTAATGTAATCTTGGTAATAAATTATATATAGAAGGCTTCCCAGTTTTTGTTGGTCATTCAACTTCTCTCCCATAAAAGGGGAAAAAAAAACATTTCACCTTTTCATATCTACCAACTTACATTTTAACAATGTAGTAGTCATTAGATGAACATATCAATTTGATTGAATTTTTTCAATATGATTACTGGCTGAAACATTTCTTAAACACCTTTTGATATTAAATCGAACTAAAAAAAGATTTAATAACAGATCAAAACAGACATGTTAAAGAATCAAAATTCTAGAAGCTCATAGACAAACAAAAAACCTACGTTTCTTTTATGGTAGACTAGTCAAGGGGCTTAGAAAATGACTTTTTTATCATTTAAGATGTGCACATGCATATCGGTATACAACCAGTCAACCAGCAGCTATACCCCGAAGCAACTAGCAAAACCCACAAAATAATATTTATTGTGTAGAAAAAAGCATATAAAATGAATAAATGATGACATCAAGTTTTTTTTTTTGAGTATGAAAACACAAAAAAAGTATAGAGAATATTAGGAGCTTTATATAAAGCCATTGCCATTACCCAATTTTGGTCCCAACTCCCAACTATCTGGGGTTTTGGGAAGGGTGGATCGGAAACAAACTTAACCATCTTTCTTTACCCTTTTTTACTTGTGGAAACTGGAGAGGGGGTGGAGCCCAAAGTGGCCATCTTCAGACTCAAACCCACATTCTCACATCAGCCCGAGATTTTACAATATTACACCAAGCAACAGCCCCTTTGTATAAAGCCAATTGCATTCTTACACATCATTTAACAAGTAAAACACAAGCCCCATATGCTTTATAGAAAATGAGAAGCTTATCAATAAACATTTGACAGTTGCTGATCAGAAAAACAATGAAAGAGAGAATGGGGGCTCCACATACCCTGGTCTAGTACTCAATTTGTCGAACTGCTCCAAAATAAACAAGATGCATGTATGCCTTAAGGACATGGCATGAAAGGCCTCTGAAAGTTCATACATGCTTGAAACATTCTCCAAAGATATATCCTAAATCAAAAGGAGAAAATAATAAGGGAAAAAAGGCATGCGGAAAAGAAACTCAGAAATTAAAAATAAAGAACAGAAAGAGAAAACTGAACATAAGCAATTTCAATGAAGTAACCAGCAAACAAGAGAATTTTCTTCTCACCTGTCCTATGGCATATTCACACAGACGCTTAAGTCCCTCCAAGAGATACTGATCTGCAGCTCTAAGGAGATCCTGTGCAATGTCTAATGTAACGTCTACTGATCCCGTGTATATGAATCTGTTTATTAGCTCATCCCATAACCAAAAAAGAGAGCATATTACCTTCGAATATCACTGAACAAAGCCACCAATAAGGGAAAACACAATATAAATTAACCAACCTCATCATCAATTCAAAAACCTCCCATCGTATATTAGGAATCTCTATATCTCGTGCATCCTTCTCCTGGAAGTACAGAGGTGCAAAGTGCAGTATAAATATTTGAGATCCAAAAGTCTGATCAGTAGGCACTATGGAAACATAAAAATGTACTTTATGAACTTAAGCGATAGTGAGCACTATGGAAACATCTAAGAGCAGGAGAAAGTTCAAAAAGGTAACTGTTCTCAGTTTCTCACCCTATAGCCACCATCAAACATTGCACGGAATGCATCCGAAGAAGCAAGTAGAGCAATTCTGTGAGCATAAAACCGCCTACCTGAAAGAAACACGGGAAAACAATCAGCAACAGTACCTGCTTTATAGCACAAAGAAAATCTAAGATTACGGATTTCATGGAGTGGCAAACTTAAGTTTATCTATAAAAAGTAATACATACAAACTTAACCATCGAAAGAATGATTTACCTTCAACTAGAAATGTAACATCGGAAAGTATAGCATTATTTACATACTGCTCACCCAAATAGACCTACACCAAGAATTACTGTTGATCATATGCACATGATTTTCAAACTAAAACAATCCATATGCTTATTTATTTACACTATTTTTTCAGTAACCATATCAAATAGATTTATTGATATCAAAGACGAAAAGTGAGTACAAACATCAAGCTTCCAAGAGATGGGGCTATGTATTTAAAATTTAACAAGAAGACAAACAAAATAATAAAATATATCACAAATATAACATCCAAGCCAAATTGCAGCTTGAATACATTAATCTGGTGAGGAACTCCACAATACAACTTTGTTCCGCCCACCTTTCCTCTGGCTTAGTTCTCTGTTAGAGTGTTCCAATTTACATATCCATCTGAATATGGTTTTCACCCTAAATGCTAATGAATTTTTAGCATGATCTTTGAATGCCTAAGGTTCTCACTGCTAGAGAATTTATTGAAGTTCTTTATTGGAATAAAAGTTTTTCTTCCTGTTTTTTTTCTTCTTGTGTATTTGGGAGGAGGGGTCAGGGCAATAGAAACATTTAGATTTTAATTCAACATCACTTTGATTTTCTAAACACTTCAAAGTTTATAGGATGAAAAGTTTTATGTATCAAAAGATAAGTAAGGCATCTCATTCTTCTATTATTATGATAGCAGAAATTAAATTGAAAACCTAATGGTTAGAGATATAACAATCTAAATGGATCAAGCTCAATTCAGCAAAACTTTGAAAGAAGCCAACTTGGTACCAAAATAGTATGGTACCTAAAATATTAATCAATCAATTGGTATTCATACAAATTCACGTGAGTTTCTGATTGATAATTTTTCAAGCACCATTTTTATGAATATTTTTCATAAAAAAAAAGATATTATTAGACAAAATATTTCACTAAACATATAACATTAAACACTATCAAATTGTTGAATTGGGCCGGCCAACCAGCTAACTTTGTTCACTGCCTCAACTCTAAGTATCCAATAAGAAAGAGAAAACTTAAAAAGATAGCTTTCTTTGGTCCAACATATGCAATTATCAAGGGACTTCACAAAAGAGTTCAAGCTTAATCTCCCAATCCAAAGTCGAAGTCCCATGTAAATTACCATCTCCACATCATGAGTAGAAAACGTGAATATGGAATTAATAAATTTTAAGCCAAATGCTTGAGTAGAAAGTGTGAATATGCATGCAATAAACCAAAATAGGTCTCAAAAGCATGCACACCTGTGGTGTCGGAGATGGAGGAGCTGCCTCCATATGGCAAAGTGATTTAGCTTTATTAGCTAACTTATACAGTGCCACCGAACCATCTTGTTGCTGCTTTGGACTTGTTGACCCAAGAAGCCCCAACAGCAACTCCAATCCTACATGCACTCACCATGGTTAAGGCAAACTCGAACACTCAAACAAAATTAAGGGACGAAATGAAAATCACTACCAGCTTTAAAAATATATTATACCATTGTTATCAATGAAAATCGCTCTTTGATCATCAGGGGAACAAAGATGAGCAAGAGCCAAAGCAACTCGTCTTTGAACAGGTTTCTCTGCTACGCGCATCAGGTATAGCAAATGGTTCAATACCTATTAGGAGAAAATTCAATTTCTTAAACATAATCATGGGGATAGACATGTGTGTGTATGTAAGAGAGAGAGAAGGGGGGAGGATGAGGACAAGAAGCTCACTCGTCCATGGATCTTCTCCTCTAATCTTTTCAGTGTCTTTGCCACACAATCTTTGGTAGCCTGAAATTGCATAACATCCATAGAAAACAACAAATGGCATGAAATTATTAAACCGTTATAGAAAGTTATGATTATTAACAAAATAGAACCAATAACGGATTGTCTATTAGAAATATCAACTACCAATGAGAAAAAATAGAAAAATATGCATACTTGGACAATAAACTCCCCATCCTGCAGCTTCTGAACACCTCCAACTTTTATAAAATCAGATACATTATCCTACAAAGGGCAAAAGAATTACAATAAAAAGATAATGAAGCAATATAAGAAAGAGACACAAAACAAGATAAAAAATTATTAGAAAAGCTTCAATAAACTTAACTATACCTCATTATCTGCAAGGCCATAAAGAGCAAAAGCAGCATTATGTTGCAGAGACCCGTTCTTTGAGTCTAGAAGCTTCAGCAAAGGCACAAGCCCACCATTATGAGCTATGCCAGCTTGGTTGTGTGTATCCTGGAATCAAGCCAGAGAAAGATATCCAGCAAACATAGTTCAGTACCAAGCATACAAAACGACCAAGAAGAAAGCACCTTACATTAACTTTAGTGCAAATTTCATGCCAGACACCTTATCAAGTTGTGGGACTTGTACCCATGCGGCCATGCCTTGTCTTGCTAACATTGCATAAGGCATGACACATGCATGGCTGCATGCACACAAACATCTATACAGCCTTCAGTAAAATAACATAAACAAGAAAAAAGGATATTTTATTGGTTTCATTTTCTCCTAAAAAGTTTTTATTTCATTTCTTTTTATTTGCCAGGAAAGAAAAACATACTATGTAACTATAACAAAAAGAGGCCAATAGCCTGTCACTATGAAGGGCACCACACCACCAATATATATTATAGGCTTTATAGCACCAATCAAATCTACAAATATTGACCTCACTAGACATGCACAACTATTCATTTTAGTTTTATCCCTAATGTCCCACAATAAGAATGCAGGAACATTGAAGCTCAGCTGTTCGATCCTTCTTGTTTTGTGTGGCCTACAAAAAAAGGAAAAACAATGTGGAGATGTATTAGAGCAGCAGCATTGTGGACAATTTGGGGAGAAAGGAATGCTAGGGTGTTCAAAGAAAAGGAAAGAAGCTTACAAACTATTGAGGATTGTATATTTGACTAGAGCCATTCATTGGCTAAGAACTTTGGACTTCTTTCATACGTTTTCCTTTGATGACATTTGGAGTAACTGGAAGGCGGTAGCCACTAGTCATACGAGGAGGGACAAGGCAGCTGCAGTGTGGAAGCCTCCGCCTGAAGGTTGGGAAAGCTAATTTTGATGGTAGTAGCCAAGGAAACCCAGGCCCTTCAGGGATAGGAGGGGTGCTGAGAGATAGAGAGAGCAACATCCTAGCTTTGTTTTCAGGCCCTGTGGGAATAGGAGACTCAAATAGAGCAGAGATCTTAGCGGCTGTACAAGGCATCCAGATTACTGAACAGTTAGGAGTTCAACACTTGGTAGTTGAAGGAGACTCTAAAATTGTTGTGGGATGGCTGACAAAGCCAGCTTCAACTATGTGGTGATATAGAGATTTATTGAGGAAAGTCAATCGGCTCACAAGAAATATGACAGTTACCTCTCTTTGGGTAGAAAGATCAGCAAATTCCTTAGCGGATGGACTAGCTAAGCAAGGGGTTTCAAGGGATCATTTGTTTTGGGCTGCTACATAATTTTATTTCTGTTTATTTCTGCTTATCCGGTTCTTAATTGATGTAATACTTTGTTAGAAGAGGTAACAGCTTGTGCCTCTTCATGGGTTTCTTGTATTACCTTATATTCTGAGTTAATAAATTATTTTCATTCATCAAAAAAACATTGAAGCTCAGACAAGGAAGCAAGCCTTGCTGGACATGAAAATAGAAATTGCAAGAGCTTTCAATAGAAAACAGTAATAAGACATTAAGACCATACTTTCACTGACCAAGATGTCCACAGCACAAGTAACATTTAACTTAACAAATTACAATAAATCAGAGGAAAAACAAAGAAAACACTATTCAAGTCTGCTTCCTTTCCAGATTCCACTACACAGTTGGTAGCCAGCTGTAAGCTTTAAGTGCAGATACATGGTTTTTATGTGGAGACATTATGACTCAAGTCAGAGCTACCAACTGCAAACCTTATTGCCAAAACTGCCCAGGAGAAGCATGAATAATTGTCTGATCCATGATTCAAGTGATTCTAGAACAGAATGGCCTCTGAATCACATTTTAGACTTTGATTAGTAATATTTCATATTTCCTGAATCACAAGCCAACTTTTGAGCATAGTTCAAAGTATTAGCATGACAGAAATAATTCCATTTGATACACTTAGTAATTAGGTAGTTTAGGTCATGCAAAAATACTGATGCACAAAAATACAATAGTTAAAACTTATCCAGAATTACATAAATTTGTAATAAACCCCCTAGATGCCCCAAAATTTTGGAGCTTTTTCTTTGACATTCCCATTTGTTCATATGCAACAATTGCACTTCTGGGCAGTGAGCACTAAGCTCTGGACATGCTTATTCTATCACCATCATGGCAAATAACTGGGTATAGGAAATCCAGAGAACTTGATCTATGGATGTCAGAGTATCATAAAGAAAGAGAATGCCAGTTAATAGTCAAAAACTTTTTTTGATCAATAACCAGCCACTTTATTAATTGATTAAAGAAGAAAAGTACAGGATTACAACCATCCATTAGGGAGATGAAAAGTTTTCATCTCCCACCTCTAGCCTCTTATCAATACAAGTTTACAGGATTGCCTAAAAAAATTGTTCTCCCACCCCTTGTCTTGCTAGTGTATCAACCATATTATTCGCATCTCTTTGAAACCATTGGATTCTCACTTCCATATAGTTAACCATCTGAACTTCATGATTTCATTTCTGTAAGCTCAAAGAGCTACACCTTCCTTTTGCAACTACCCAACCACCATCCTTGAACCACCTTTAATACTTGACCTATTCAAGCTCATAAACCTTGCCCTTTGTATTCCTTCCAAAACCAACATTACTTCAGCCCTTACTGAATCACCTATACCAATCAATTCTGAAAACAAGAATAGAATATGACCTTCCTCATCTCTGAAAACGCCAGMAATACAGCAATACCTAAAGTCCCCAGATTTCCCAAACCACTCCTGTGAAAGTTGAGCTTTATAAGCCCTCTCTCTAGGGTTGTCCAATATCAAAACCTTTCCCATTGAAGTCCCTACTACTTCCATTTTCTAATAATATTATCTGTTGAGAACTTTTTCATAGTTTTGATCCAATGAACTGCCCTAATTGTAATCATTCAATTACTGCTTCAAGCATCCTTGCCTTATCCTTGAAATTCTTTCTTCCCACACTGTCCAAATGATTGCTGCTATCATCTCAACATAACCCTTCCTTTCTTTTTTGGCAAAAAAAAAAGTATTTGCACCAAACAACTTAGGCACACTTGATGGAGGAATCCATCTGCACCAAAAAAGAGGGGGGGAAAAAACCACTCCCAAATAATTGTAACAAATGGACAAGAGATTAGCAAGTGAAAGCAAGTCTTGCCTTTAGCCTTCCAAAAAAATACACCAAGAGAGATGGACAACAGTATAGTCTCCTCTTTTGAAGTACATCACAAGTAATAATCTTCTCATGGAAGACCTCCCAACTGAAAGCAACAACTCTAGGAGGAATAGATCTGCACCAAAAATTTTAACAGGAAAAGGTACAGCAAGGAGAGGGAGGGCTGAGATGGTGTACTTTAAAGAAGGAAACACAAGAGAAAAGACCTGACAAAGAGGTGACCAAAAATTTTCTCATGCATCTAACTGTTGCTCCTCCCCATCACAAAACAAGATAATATCATCAGCAAGCTGCAAGTAGGTGACCACAACCACTTCTCTTCCTATTCTCCATCCCCAAAACACTTAACAGCATCACTACAATGAAGAAATTCCCCATAGTCCAATTTTTAAGGAATCTATATACTCAGGGGTAAGCTAGCAAAACAACCCAAGTTTTAGATAATCTACCAAAAATTCAATGAAGAGTAATTATGCAGATGATTTTTCCCCAAAGAATGAAATAACAATAAGTTTTTAAGAAACAAAACTACTCATTGGCAAGATGAAATCAAGAGGTGATTTTCCCATCTATATCCATCTGATCAGAATAAGATTCAAGAGAATGTCGAAGTAAATAACCTGTGCCAATCTCCCCAGTGCAAAGGCTGACATTTCCCTAAGTTGCATATCTGGGGATTGAAGCATCTCAATTAGAGGGCGAACTGCACCTCTTTGCACAATATGGACCTGCAACAACCTCAATTTTGAGAAAGAAAATGCATAGCAAGTTTCCAAGCTTCAAGAATAACAAAGAAAGCTATTTTCCAATCCACCTTGCAATCTGAATCTGTTGCAGCAAATTGTCCAAGTAATAAAGCTGCCTCCCTTTGGCTTTCCGAACAGCAGGAACTGAAAATCAATATATGAAGCCATGAAACACCCCCAAAAAAGTTTATTTTAACAGCAAAAAATATGGAAAACACTAGCAGCTATCCATCAAAAAAAAACAGCAAGATCTGGCACTCAGCTAAAGAAAATGTAGAAGACAGAGCAAGGATGATAAAGAGTCTGTCACGTGGTAACACCTGAGTAATCCAATAACAGGTTGTAAAGCTCCAGCAAGGAGAACTTCTTTCTTTATGTTTGGGGATGAGTGCACTAGATTCCCAATGACACCGACCTGTTAGATACATGAAAAGTCATCAAGTGCTACAACATGAGTTTACAGACAAACACCAACTGCAGTAGTTCACTAGTCATTATTAATTGCTGGATTAGAACCCACCGCCTCATAATGTATAGCAGCATCCTCAGACCTAAGCATTAGAATCAGTGTAGGAAGAGCATTGCACTCAACAATCTGCAATAGTAACTGTTGACATTAAAACAATTTCACACATCTATCCTAAAGACTTCCTTGTTGCACATAAAGCCCAACTACCTGATTCTTGTTTTCATCATTTTTAAATGCCAGAGTTCGAAGTGCACCAGCTGCTGCTCTCTGTACCTTTGTATCAGTGAACTCAAGCAACTCAACAAGAGGTGGAATTCCCCCTTCAATCCTGGTAATACAGTCTAAAGTATCAAAAAATAGATATTTTGCTAAACATAAACATGTAAGCAAATGAAAATTTGCAAACAAGCATACCTGACACGGGTTTTAATCCAGCTATTTTCATGAGCAAGATTAGTGATTGCATCAGCTGCCCTGCGAATAACACTATTGACTGCCCGGGAACTAGAACCATCCTTGTGCCTCTTTAACAGGTCTACAAGGTGAGACAAAGCACCAGCATCAACTATGAGCTGTTGGTGCTCAGGCTGTTAATACAAGAATAACAAAATTAGTATTAACAACCAGAGACAAGTCCTGAAATTTTCCCATAATTTCCCATTTAAAGCAGTCCCCAAATATCTATTAAATGAAATCTCAATCATATAAAATATTGGTAATATGTGTACTAACACTAGCATGTCAACTATTGATAGTTTCGAAAACATTCACAAAAGATCGGGGCAGTTGCAACTTTGCTTTTTTCCACTATTACTACGAAACTTTTGACAAGCTAATCAGAGCCAACAATTTTCCTAGAGTGACCAATATTGGGCAATGGCTGCTTGTATGGCTATATATACATGCATATAACATCATGCATATAACATATATGTACATGCATATAGCATATTGTCATCTAGGTGTCAATTTCCATTGCCATGCCGAAGTGCATGTGCAATCAGGGTCACCTTAACTACAATGGCAACACATTAGCAAAGTGGAAACCATTGCATGTGAGTTTTTCACTCTTTTATCTCCTTTCTTTTTTTTTCTTTTTCTTTTTTTTTTGGGGCCTGATGAGGGGTTTAATATTGAAGGCTGGGTTTGATACAAAAAAGGCCAACAAAATCACAAGAAAGTGTTAGATCTCTGTTACCATAGAAAGGTTTTCCAATATCAAATTTAGGGCATCCTATCAACTGTAAGAACCAAAGAGTTTCACTGAATAAATATGCAAAATGAATTCAAGATTTCTAAAAGAGCTTCCTTATACAACTTGGGAAAAACAAAGTTCAAAGTATAAAAGAACTTGTTTGTATATAAAACTAGGTGCATTCTGACCATAATTCACTATCTAAAATCCAAGATTTGACTTGAGTCGAACACCTTATGTGACTTGTGCTGCATGGTTTGAAAACTGTTTTCCTTAGCAATGTTGACAAGGAAAATCAGATTAAAACAGAACCAATAGTGGGTATTGTGTGTGACTAAGGGAGCAACATAAATATATAGAGCCAGTGTCAACAGTCAGTGTAGTACTAATTCAGCCTATAACAATAGCTCCTATATTGATATGGATAATTAGATATTATGTTGGAGATAAACCAATATGGTATAGCCAATTCTGACAAACATTGCAGTTAACAGGAAGACCGTATGACAATCCACATAGAAGTCACCATTTCCCAAGCCATTGGATTAAATATTTCAACTCGTGTAAGTGCGCATGCTATGCACATGTGGAAGTAAAGATGAAAGAGTAAAAATAAAAACTCTTATATCAATATGATGCTAGTAATATGTGACTTAACTTCATGATCTTCACCGGAACCAAGGGAATTATCTGCTTTATATAGGTGTATAACAGATCACGGAGTAAATTCTTTTCTTAATTAGGTAAAAGGGAGATGATAATGGGGAATAAATGGCACCAGGAAAATGACTTTGTTTGCATATTACAGAATACTTTCCAACAACTGGATATAGTTTTTGTAGTGTGACATCCTGGACCAGGATAAATATGTATACCTAATACAGCAAATAAGCACGTTAGGTTTGTGATTAATGAAGGTACACCTACAGCTGCTACTGCTAGTATTGGGTATAAAAGACTAGGACAAAGAAAAGTGCACCCCAACAGAAAAATGATCACAACGATAGGGGAAAAAAGACCATTTGATTTATTCAAATTTAATCACTTGGGCATGTTCTGAAGTTATGTTGTCGGTGGTCCAATCATTTTAGTCATCTTTTTTTTCTTGACATATTTAGTGATCTTACACGTTAAGTTCGTTATTATTATTCAATTCTGTACAACTAGCGTATTTCTAGTAATAATTATAATTTAGAGAGTTAAACAAGTTCTTCACYGGACCAAAATGTTGTCGAAAAGTTTCACTGTCAAATAGTAATACTCTTATGCAAATAAAGCGTTCAGATATAATATAAATCAGATATCAGATAAAAACCCAATAGAACATAAAAATATGAAAAAAAAGAACAAATTAATTTGGAAGTAAGGTCCCAAGAGATGCATATAGATTGCAGAACTACCTTGACAGCGAGAAGCCCAAGAGCGAAAGCACTGCCTTTCTCGACCTCGTGCTCGAACGGCTTCGGACCATCGTCGCCTTCTCTCGGATGAGGTGGTGGCTGAAGATGCTTCACCAGAGCCGGGACAGCACCTCCATCGACGATAAAATTGACAACTTCTTCTGCAGAAATCCCCAGTGGAGAGATCGATAAACGGATAGATCAGCAGCCAAAACATGAATTCACGAGAAAACAAGATCAATAGAGATAAAAAAAACGCAAAAACCTTCGAAAATGGCAACGCACAGAAAACAAAAATAAATAAATCACCACATATAGAGCAAAGGAATGAAACAAAACACGAGATCGATGTTCTGATGGCGTTTCAATTTACCGTTTTTGGCGAGCTCGGCGAGGACGTGAGTGGCACGCTTAGCGGCGGCTCGGTCAGCTTCCTTCCAAGAGAAGGTGCTGTCAAGAATGCTAACCTGCGCACTCACCTCGGCCACCAAAGCTTGGTGTGCGTCGGGAGAGGTGAGAGAGATCTCTCTTTCTTCCTCGATTTCGTCCTCCAGTTTCCGCTTCTGCCCTTTCCTCTCAGGGAGGTTCTGCTGCTGCAGCTGCTCCATGGAGAGAGAGAGAGAGAGAGAGAGAGAGASACACAGACACACACAAAGAAGAGCGACGGATGGAAAAGACTCAGAGTTCAGAGAAAGGGGTTTGTGGAAGAAGAAGAAGAAGAACGAGAAGAGATGATGAAGGGCAGTTTTGGAAGAGAAAAAGTGTGATGGTGCTCTTCTCTTTTATTTTTTAATGTTTTCTTTTCAGCTGCGACTGTTGTAGCTTTCGGAAGACGAAAAAAATACATTGCTCATATCGGTTTTGTACCGCCCGGCGGCCGCGATATATCCGGCGGGGGAGTAAATTCCCCGCGCTTTTTTCATCCCAAATGTAGCTGCTAACTTGCACTCCCGCCTAGGCTAACTTGCGCCGGTTCAAGATTCCATGTACTGGCCGGTGGCCCATGTGATGGCCTTACTAAACTAAGATCAGACGGCTGTGATTGTCTAGGTGGTGGGACCCTCACTGGATCTTTGACTACGCTACGCTTGTCTGTCACGGATGGGTATCATCTGCGAGGAAGGATTAAAAATTTGACGGGAAGGTGTTTCCCAGTAAAATGACGAAGGTAACCTTGTGGAAAACAATGGTTTTGAGATTTTGAGATGGACCCAGGGATTTTGGGTAATTGGGGAGCACATAGAAAGGGTGGTGGTGCGGTCTCTATCAGTCTTTTCCGAACCCAAGTATTTTTTTGAAAGCTTTTTTTTATAAAATAAATCCCGCCTTTCCTCTTCTTATGTTGAAATTTGTAGGCTTGTAGCTCTTCAAAATGGAATAGTGGATAAGCCAAATAGCAGGGGTGATCATTTCAGCCCCACCCGAACATGCCCGGCTCGGAAATTCCGAGTTTGGACCTAGGCTTTCTGTTCAAGTTCAGCACAGGCTTAGCCTACATAAAATTAAATATACGTATTTTATAATATATATATATATATATATATATTTCTTTATGTTATATATATACATATATTTTTTGGATAAATACATATTATATATGTATATTATAACATGATACTTATAATACATATCATGTATAATATTTTGTATTATATAACATATAAAAAATTATATACATATTATATATCATTTAAAATAAAATATTGTGATGGCATTTGGTAAATCTTTCAATGCAGTCTCTTGGGTTTCAACAAGCTCAAAAGACCAAAAATCAATCTTTTTATCCACTTGGTAAGACCAAAAGATGCATGCAAAAAGACTAAAAAAAGACCAAAAATATTGAATCTTCAAATAAAGCTTTTTGGTCTTTATGCATCATAAAGCCTCTAAAACATTTTTGAAAGCCCAATAAATTGATCCACTTGCCAAACGGTATTTGGCTTTAAAGACAATACCCCAAAAACTCAATATATCTTTTGGTCATCTAAGTTGTTAGAATATCTTTCTAAAAATATTTGCCAAATAGCACTTATATATGCAGTGTTGTATATATAAAAGAAATAGTATTGGAATCAAGCCCAAGATCATGTTTCAACCTTGAAACTTGGGCCAAGTAGTTGAGCCTATGCCTAGGCTATTGCCCTTATCATATGTGCAAAACCAACTCAGGCACCATTTGGTTTAACCCATGATCACCCTTGCTAAAAACTACTAGGGTGCGCTGTTAGCTTTTGTTTGGTTCTATTATAGATACATTTCAGAATAATAGATGAACAAAACCCATAAATTAACATAAAACCAGATGACCAACTACAATGGTTAAGTTGACAAGTTCTCTAGCCAATTTTAGTGGCAATTTGGGGATAAGTTAACAAAAATATTCGCTAACTACCTAACTTGCTACTAAAGTCTCTAGCTGGTAAAAGCAAAGACCTAGGGTAGAGCCTCTCCACCCAAGTTAGGAGAGTCTAGGGGTTTGGGAGAGGGCTACCCATGTGATGTGGATCTCATGTGTATTGAACGTTGGGTGTTCACTCGTGATTGGTTTTGTAGCCAAGTTTTCATACTTGTATTAGCAGAAGAGTGAGAAAGAGAAAGAGAGAGAGATAGGGTGGGGGATGGGGGCTTCCTCGTTGGGTAGCCTTATGAAAAAAGGATGGATATGAATCAATACAATTGTCACTTCTACCTACAACGTCAAGGGGAGGTCAATACAAATTTGTGAGATGATTTTTTCACACCACAAATGCTTTTATATGATCAATACAAATTTATTTATCATTGTTGTTTCTTCATAAAACACCAAATTTTACACTTCCACTATAAATGTCAATGAAACACCAAACTGACATYGTTTACCTTCATCTTAAGACCCAAAGTTGGAATCGATTTCGATTGTCTGACCGGAGTCATTTTGATATTGAACCTCATCTCACACCAAATCAGAAATCCGAAGCTATAGGCACATAGAGCCATAAAATCCAAATCTGACAACACCAAAATCATCTAAATCCAACACTGTTTACCCCTTCATCTTAAAACCTAAAGTTAGAACCGGTTTAAATCGTCCGATCGGGATCATTTTTTTATCTTTAACCATATCCCACATGAAATTAAAAAAAAAACAACATTTTAGATTAATATAGCTTGAAATTCCGAGTCCAACAATACCGATAACATCCAATTCCGACACCATTAACCCCTCCATCTCGAGACCCAAAACTATATTCGATCTGGGCCCTCTGTTTGGAATCCTCTTCACTATAACTTCGAACCTTGGGACCCACATGACCAAATCTTTCTCCCAACCTCTATCATCCAATCAATCAAGCTAATCACCTAAACTTTGAATGTTCAATTTAAGTAAATTGGTGAAATTTTTCACTTATTGTCTTAATTGATTGAGATGTTCTCTCCCAAAGTTGTCTTAACAGCCCCTTCCCTCAATCACTCTCGCTCAAAAAAACCCTTTAAACCTCAACCATTGATCTTCATATTCTCCCTATCTCAACCCTTCATTCCCTTTTAGAATCCTCACCAAAACTCTTTAAATACCCCCTTCCTCACACACAATGACACATTCTAGCATATGGAGAAAACTCTAGCCCCATTAGCCTAGAAAATAGCTCCTTTCACCTCCCAATCAGCTCCAAGCTTCTCTAACCCATGTCCAAGCTCATGAGGAAACCTCATTCACGTCCAAAGAACTCCTCCATGAGTATTCCATACCACTGTTGTAGTCCATAACGGCTTTGTTTTCATTCTCAAGTCTCCATTAACCCTTCACATACATCTTAGGTGCTTAGGAATTACTTCCCACAACCACAACTCAATTTCCACTTCACCCAAAAGCTAAGAAAACCCATCAACCTCCCAAAAACTAATCCTAAAACCTATAGGACTTGGTTGAAACTTGTTTGAATTGATTGTTGTTGTAAAAATGTATTAAGCATGCAGTGGCGTTCATTCACATGTTGGGCCACATAGTCACTCAAATCATTATCACGTGGTTGGGGAAAGCATTGAAAGAGATCAAACAGGCTAGATGGATGTGTAATTGGTACAGCAAGGGCAGATCGATTAAGGAATTTGGCACTCCAAGTAAAGTCTTATACTTGAAGCCGCTTAATTGTTACTATTTTGTTAGTTTTATAGGAATTTTCATCACTTCAATAACTTCTAAATAGATGTCCGAATAGAGCTTAATTATGTTAGCATTTTATAATGCTACCGGACTAGGTTTTTATCATGCTTCATTCATAGTGTTTTTTTTTCTAAATGTTTCTTTTCTTTCTCTTTCTTGCTTAAATAGTGTAGACTTTCATATACATATTTCGTTTGTTATACTCCTTGATTTTCACTGAGTTCAATTTTTTATCCGTTTTCTCATTTATTGTTTTCAGCTCATATTAGCCATTAGATTGTTTAGTACTACATTTTTTTTGTTTTTCTCTGTTATTAGTTTCTTGTTTCAACACATAATAGACATTAGTGCTAGTTTCTTTTATGCTTTTTTTTATACATATGCATCATATATAGTATTTAGTTCTTTCAATGCTAGACTTTTTTTTTGGTAATAAATAAGGATAACATTAAGAAGAAGAAAAATGGCCTAAACGAGGATACATCAAAGTTACCAAGCAATGGAAGAAGCCATTCTGGGGGATGGAGGAGCCATTCCCCTTTACAACACTTTTGAGAAGCAAGGAGATGAACTATAAAATTCAACTCCCTTGATAAATAACAGAGACAAACAACATGAAAAGAAAAAAAGCCAAGTTCCACCTTGGTATCCAGAAAAAAGGACCTGATCTCCCACGGAGGAGGGGTTGAGTCACTAACGCTTGACCAAAGTTAAATTGTCCGTAAAGATTTGGATGCACTTCACGTCTAGTCTTTTGGCTAGTTTGATGCCCACAAGAAAAGCTTGAGCTTCAACACAAAGAGGTGATCTTGAGGAAACACTAGAAGAAATAACACCTTTGAAAATGGCCATCTATGTCAAAAAGAACTGAACCAATACCTACATACCTAGAGGAAGAGAAGGCTCTGTCCACCAATAGAATCTCAAAACGTACATGGGTCGCACCTGGACGAAGGGAGTTATCACTTAATCTTACGAACTTGTTCTGCTTTGGATTGAGAGTTTGACTCGGCACTGTTGGCTAACTGAGGTACCTATTAATATTATACAAAGCATAATGTGGATTTAAAACTTGACCATTAAACAGGAAATCATTTCTACAGTTCCAAATGACCCGGACTGTTATAGCAAAAGACAATCCAAGGTTATGCTTTTCTAACTTTGTTAACCTCGAGTCATTAAGCCAAGATGAAAGCAAGGATTTAATGCTAGTATGATCATCTGACTGAAAAACGACACCCCAACTGATATCCGAACCAAATTATCCTAGCAATTTCACAATAGAGTAAAGCATGCTCAAACATTTCACTACAAATTGAGCACATAGGACATACATCAGATTGTCTAATGCCTCTACTATGAAGGTTTGAGCACACCGGTAAGCTATTATAACATGTCCTCCACAAGAATGTTTTAATTCTTGGGATTGTGTTCATACCCCATATGAAGCACCAGAGTGCACTTTCAGATGGTCCAGAAGTTCCTGTGCTGTCTAAGGTCCAAACTCTCAATAGCCCAAGCCCTTCCTTATTCGCCACATAATAGGTTGACTTCACAGAAAATAAACCTTCTTATCAAACAACCACAACAGCTTATCCTCTATTCCATACAAGGGTATATAAATTTTAACAATCTCATGAGTGGTCCATTGAGGGAAGACTAAATTCAGCTTAGTTAAGTCCCAAGTTCGATTTCTCCTATCAATGAAGTCTGAAACAACCTCCAAATCGCAGCCTAAAGGCTTATCAAGTGGAATTTTAATGTCTAGCAAGGAAGGAATCCAAGGATCCCTCCAAACATTGATACTATTTCTACTTCCAAGTTGCCAAACAACTCCTTTTTCAATAACTTTCTTTCCCATCATAATACTCTTCCACCCCCAAGATGCACTTGGGGGACACTTAGCATCAAAAAATCGAGTCTTAGGGTAATATTTTGCTTTTAACACTTGAGTTAACAAGGAAGTTGGTTTCTGAAGGAGGAACAAACCTTGTTTTGCAATGAGGGCAAGATTTGCACTTCTAATATCTCTAAAACCAAGTACTCCTTCCTTTTTTTGGCTTGCATAGAGTGACCCAATGGATCCAATTGACTTTACCCCTTGAGGCTGAGCTACCCCACCAAAACCTTCTTTGGGTATGAGAAATTTCCTCACACAATGATTTAGGGAGAAGAAAACACAAGAGTGTATAGATTGGAATAATGTTTAGGACAGATTTAATAAGAACTTCCTTACTAGAGAAGGAAATGAGTTTATGTTTCCAACCATGAGCTCTATTGATGACCCTGTCTAAAAGGAAATTAAAGGTTTCTCGTTTTGACCTACCCATATTAGGGGGGAGCCCCATGTACACACCCAGCTTTGTAATCCTTCAAATTTTTAAGGCCTTGGAAATCATTCTCTGAAATCTATGGGGGTATTTGAGCTGAAAAAACTTCTGATTTGTTAAGATTTACTTTTTGCCATGACGCCCACTCATACTTTTTCAAAATGTTTAAGATTTCCTTCCCATTTATCAAATTTGCTTTACAAAACAGATAACTATCATCAACAAATAGTAAGTGAGAACATATGGACTTTGTCTGTTAATTTTGATTCCAGAAATTCTTTGAGAAAATTCTACTTCCCCTAGACTAGCTGAAAGAGCTTCAATAACAAGCATGAAGAGGAAGAGAGAAAGGGGATCCCCTTGCCTCAGTCACTGAGAGGGACGAATGACCCTCCCTAGAGATCCATTAACAATAACTCAATAAGAGACAGTTGAAACACATTGCCTGGTCCACATCCGCCATTTGGTGCCAAAGCCCATATGCTCCATTACTCTGTCCAAGAAATCCCATTCCACCCTATCATAGGCCTTCATCATGTAAAGTTTGATGGCCATAAATTTGGCTTTACCCTTGGTTTTTTTTCATAAAATGCATCAACTCATGAGCTAAGAGGATGTTGTCAGAAATTTGCCAACCCGCAATGGAGGCGCTTTGAAAAGGGCATATCAAATTATCAAGGACTAACTTCAATCTATTTGCCAAAACTTTAGAAATAATTTTGTAAGGGGTGTTTCAAAGACTAATAGGGCAGAACTGGCTAATACTTTAAGGATTCTTACACTTAAGAATCAGGGTTATAAAAGTATTATTAAGTTCTCTCAACAAATGCTTTGAGTTAAACAATTCTTGGACCGCTTCAACAACATTGTGACCAATTGTATCCCAATACTTTTGGAAGAAGAAATTCGATAAACCATCCGGACCAGGGGCTTTTGATGGGGCCATTTGGTTTAAGGCCGACTTAATCTCTTATTCCAAAATTGGTCTTTCAAGAGAATCCTTTTGATCCTTTGAGAGCTTGCAATCAATATTCCTAAGGATCTCTGTCCCACTACTAGAACTTTCACTGGTATAAAGCTGATGGAAGAAATTATTTACATGATCTCTAATGATCTCATCATCCTCCATCCAAACTCCATCATCATCTTTTGATTTGTTGATTCGATTCCGATGTCTTCTCTGGATAGTAGTAGCATGGAAAATTTAGTGTTCTTGTCACCCCATCGCAACCACTTAACTCTAGCTTTCTAAGCCCACGACATCTCTTCTCTTTTAAGTTTCAAGTCCAGTTTTTTCTCTAACTCTTCCTTTTTCATCTCTCTCTTCTCTCCCTCTTGCATCAAAAGAGTTTGTTCAAGGTCCGCCTTAATGCCCTCTATATTTTTTCCAATATTACCGAAAACTTGTTTATTCCACCTCTTGAATTTCAGGTTAATAAGAGCAACTCGTTTGGCTAAATTAAACATTTGGGAACCCTTCCAACTCTGCTCCCAAACCTCAGAGGTAATTCCCTTACACTCATCATGAGTGGTCCAGGCTTCTAGGAACTTGAATGGTCTAGGGTGCCATTTAGTTGGGGGTCGCAATCGAGGAGAATAAGGGAGTGGTAAGAATGAATGGTAGTCAAGTGCTTAACCTTAGCATTGGGAAACAAAGTCATCCACTCAACATTAGCATAGGCCTTATCAAGGTGCTCTTCTACTAGACCAACTGGTATATTATTTGACCAAGTAAAGGGGTATCCTAGAAATCCAAGGTCACAAAGATTATAATTACTAATCACATTAGAAGCTCTATCAAAGGATCCGAAGCTCACTGGACTCCCACCTTTTTTCTCATATGGAGACATTAAGCAGTTCCAGTCACCTATTGCTACCCAGGTTTGGTAAATAGACGCCACTAAATCAGATACAAAGGTGAAGAACTCTTCTCTATTTGACTTGTTAGGCTCCCCATAAATAAATGAAGCATACCAGGAATTGCCTACCGGATAACTCACCTCTGCAACAAAACCATACTTACAAGAGCTCAGAATTCGAATCATAATGGATTTCTTCCAGAGCAGAAGAAGACCACCAGACAGACCAATTGGTTCCACATCTACCTAGTTCCAATGTGAATTTCTACCAAACTTCTTCGTTATTCTTGGTGCAGAGATTTTAGTTACCATGATGAAAACAATGTCGGGACAGTGGGAGCAGATTAGGTTCTGCAAGTATTAAACTACCTTGGGCCCACCCAACCCTTGGTAGTTCCATGATAAGGCAATCATGTCTCCCAGTGGAGCTATTCAGGGACATCACCTAGAACCCAATTCAATAATTGAATTAGAGTTGGAACTTGAAACATGAATTGGTCTTTTAACACAACCACACACCAAGGACGTGTGAGAGTTCCTTAAGGAGTTCACAAGACCAATAGGAGAGATAAAGGCTTGTCAGTGTGGAGGAAAAAATATCATGCGTTTCCTTATCTTCCACTTGTATTTCCTGAATTTGTTTTGGGGACAATTTGGCCAGAGGAAATACAAACACTTTCTAGTTGTTTGACAATCAAAATTATAGAGGAGAATATAATAATTTAAAAGCAAATCAAARGAAACTAAAGGTACCTTCCTGTTGATGTGGATCACGTTGAGTTTTGCCATTTTTCATGGTTCATGCAATAGTTCATCAGTTGTAAGAACATCTGGAAAAAAGGCCCTCTTCACCTTGGGAGTGGGGATACGATTTGCTACAGTCTGGTCTGATCTTCGTAATCCAGCCTGATCGCTCTCAAGATGCTCACTTGAGCTAGAAAAGGGGGGATCAATTTGCATCGGGATTGGTTTTGGAGTCGAAACCTTAACATTAAGATCAATAGTCTCTTTCCCATTATGGTTAGTTGCAAGAAGACTTTCTTGGGTCCGACCGCCATTCATCAGATTGGAAAGAGGCTCATTGCATGCAATAGCTTATTTCAGTAAGACACTAGGCTGAGGAGGATTTTGAGAGTCTTCTCCATACTTTTGTTAGTAACATGCTCTGGCTCTTTGGTTTGGCTATCTGTGCTTCGAGCTACATCCTCCAATCCCTGTTGATCTTCATTCCCAAGGGTTGACTAAGCTGACCTGCACTATTCCCTTCTCCGTCTCCGGCATATCGGGGACCAGCCGGCTAGACTTACCTGTTGCAAAGTTTTTCCAATGGTGGGGAAACAGGTTCCTGTCGTCTCTTTTCAGAGGACTGGTGTTCATTGGGGAAGTGTTGTATTGAACCTCTAGAGAGGTAACGTTTGGTTGAGCGCCATATAGATCGTTAGTGATAATGGATTTGGATCCTCACCCTGGTGACCCTCTCTTCCTTGGGAGCTGTTCAAATCTTCCCCTTGGCATCTCTGAGTTTGCATCCTTAATCATCATGGTCGTGCTTTAAAAATTATTTGCACAGAGCCATGGGCCAAAGGAGCATGGACTCGGCCCTTGAGTTTCCTTTTTTGGAAGGGACTTTCCTTTTTTTCTCTAAGTCATTTTCTAAAGCATATTTGGTGTAGCATCTAGCTTCTTCGTGGCCCAGGGTTCCACAGAAAAAAGTAGAAGATTGGAAGTTTCTCGTATTGAAAATCATACCATGACCAATTTCCTTCATTACTGCCCCAGAAGGGCTATTAATGACAGTCTCCACAGTTATCGGTCTCCCTGCAACTCTTGATAATTGCCTTTCCACACTTTTAGTCATTCACTCAATGGGGAGATCGATAATATGGATCCAAAAAAACTGTTGTACTAAAGTCGATCATACTCACCCTTACACCCAAAGACCATGTTTGAAGAATTAGCGGATATCCCTTCACTGTCCACGGGCGTCCATTCCACACTGTATTTCTATCAACCTCATGATTGAACTTGAACAACAACACTTCATTGTTCAAGGTCAACAATGAAAAACCTTGTTCGTGTGTTTCCATGACTTTTGTATAGCTTCCTTTATTCCAGCAATATTCAGAGGCTTATCTGCAATGATTTTCCCCAAGAGACAAAGTTGACTTTCTTTGTTTGCCATATTGTGAGCATTCATCTCAACATCTTCATCTGAAATGGCTAGCTTCTTCGTAAGTAATTTTTCCAGAGATTCAAAGTTCTCCTCGAAAGAGTCGCCACCAAAAGTTTTCTCATTAGATTTCTCTCGGTTCTAGGGTTCATTATGCGTGCGCTTACAGAAGGGCGGGGGGGTGAAGCTTACCGGGCCAATACACAACTCAGCTTAATTAGATGAGAGGAGCTCTCTTACAGAGTGATATGTGCGCACAGAAGTTTCTTTTAGTGTAATCTAGAGGTCAGCTAGTGTTAACAAATAAAACCAATGCCGGACTTCAATTGATCTATGACTGATTTTGTTTTAGATTTTCTTACCCTTTTTAAATAGCTCCGAGCATAAGTTTCTTTTAGTGTAATCTAGAGGTCAACTAGTGTTAAAAAAACAGTTTGTAAAGTATTTCGCTTACCACACCTACATGCTTGCGTCCATTTAGTTGTTCATTGTGGTAACCGTGGGGACTTCACCTTTTTCTTTACGTATACATATGTCTCATTGTTTTCCTTTTTTTTTTTTTTCAAGCGGCTGAATAGAGAGAGAAATTATAAAGAAAAAATAAAAAAATGTATATATTATATTATTTATATAATATATATTATGTATTTTATAAAATATATAATGCTGAGTCGGACCGGGCTAAGTTTTTTGACAAATCCCAAGTCCGGTCCGTAATACAGTCGGACTTACTGTGCTAGGCCCGAGGTCAGGCCCATGGGCCTAATTACATGACCAAGCCCAACCAGGGTGCGGGCTGGGCCATCGGGCTACCCGGCCATGAACAGGTCTACAATTAACAAATCCACACTTATTAGTGTTTCAGCTTAAAACGTCTATCGGTTTAAATCATTTGCATTGCATGGTTAACGTGTCATAACTTGTTCATTGAGTCAATTTCTTTTTCTTGTGATTTTCAGCATATATAGTAATTGCATAGTCATTACATTGCAAACAAAACATTTGGTTGCTACTTTTTTTTTCACCAAAGCGTGTTAGCTATAACTTCTCTTTCTTGTTATTTTAAGGGTCCATCGGAATTAAAATCCTCCGGAATCGGAATTGGAATGGCCCATTMCCATAGTATTTTTGGTTCAGATAGAAATGGAAATGGGAATTCAAATCAGCAAGAATGAGAATTCATTCTCAAGGGAGAGGCAGGTAAGGAATGACCATTCCCTCAAATAGGAGAATGTCATTTTAATAGGAATAGAAATGCGATTCTGATTCCATCCAACCAAACAGTTGGAATTGGAATAGCCCATTCCAATTCTGATTCTAAACCCCTATTTCCACGAACCAAATGAGGCCTAAGTTTTCACAAGTATTGCAGTTTTAAATCCTTAATTCCATTATCGTAGAACTTTCAATGCTTTGATTTTGTATTGCTTCAGTATTATTTTAGCAAATCATTATCATGTTAAATATTTTAGTTGGTTTTATAATCATTTAGTTGTTTTATTTTCTTATTGCTTGTGATTAGTTTATTTTCTTATTGCTTGTGGATAGTTAAGATTGCTACTTCATAAATTTTCATTTGTTGCGTTTTTCCTCAAGCCTAAAACTTATAAAATTTTCCTTGGAATTCTGGTAAAGTAGATGCCGGCTTAACCAGGTGTGTGTGGGGTGCTTAACACCTTTTCATATGCCTTGGTCACTGGAYCATAAGAATCTCAACCCCATTAGGAAACAAGTCATCAAGAAAACTTTAATTTTTCTTGTAAAAATCTCAGGTGTTCCTAAATTCCCAAATTCTGAAAAAATTAGGTGGTGACTCGATATTCCTCCATCCTCTCTCTGAACCGGGTAGCCACAATAGGTATTGACATAAGATTTTGACTATTTGAAAAGAGTTATTTTATTGCATCAACTGAACAACGATTTACACAACCATGTTCGGTTCTATAGAAAATAAAAGTAGAAAATCAAAGAAAAGCTCTTAATAAATTTCATGAAATTCCTTAGGTTCAATTGGGAAAGAACACAAATATAAATAATTTTTTTACGCCAACACAAATATAAATATTAACTTGCATTTGCATTGTACATATTTGTAGTTTGGGAAGAGTGCAAATACAATACACTACAAAACTTTGTAAATGGTATTTCTAAATATATTTACAGTATAAATATAATGTTTCGAAATATCATATACAAAGTTTTTCATTCTACATATTTACATTTACACTTGTCTCAAAGTGAGCTTAAAAACATCCCCTAACAAAAGTTCGTTGCATTTTATATTGAGATAAACAGGAACCTTAAATTGTGTGATATTGTGATGTAATAAACGTGTGAAGTAGCCAATATGTTTTATGTGGTGTTTGCCGTTTGGTGATGTGGAATTTTCATTTACGAATGGTTAATTGAAAATTGAACCGGAAAACTGGTCGGTTCGATTAATTGTCATTTTTTTAGGTTAATTAAAAACCAAACCAACCCTTCAATTTTTTCAAAAATATACACAATAGAATATAGGTATAACCATGCACTTACATATGTGCACTGTAGTATCGTGTGGATAGGTGTTGGAGTGTTCACGTAGGGAATAGGTCTGAGCTTGATATTGACCCATACATAATTTATTATTGAAAGTAATGAATTAATTGATTTACTTGAAAATGGGAGACTAAATATATAACATGGGCCTCATATAATTTTAAATTTGAGTTTTCCTAATTAAAAAGAAAATATTGGTTCATATCAAACAGACCTTCGGATGTAACATCGCTATAAGTCATAGTCTTTAGGTAAAGCCGATTGTTTGAATGCAAATAAAACCAAGTCAAATGAGAAAGCTCAGATTTATGGTGAATCCCAAATAGAATTTGTAATATATGGCTTCTTTTTTATCATTAACTATCATACAAAAAGATGAAGAGGGTTTCTAGACGAATTACCCATAATATAAAATCCCTTTGATATCTCAAACTCCTACCAAAAACGCCAACTTATCCCTATAGATGTTGTACTTGATATAGGGATAAGTTGACTATACTCCACTTGAGAATTCTGAATTTAATCGTAGACCTATAATAATTCAAAATTATAAATACTTTCACCTATAACACATATACTCGTCCGTGAATTAGTATCAATTCCGAGTTGGTATCTACTCCAATTATAAGTAGAATTAAGATTTTTAGGACTGGATTAAACAGTAAAAACCCCTAAATTATATAGTAATCTTTAAAAAAAAAAGAAGAGCAAACTATACAGTATTAAAATGGTACTCATCCAATTAGAGCTCTCTCATTGCATACCACCCTTGTGTATCATTGTATGGGGTTCCGTTATGAGATCAGAAAAATAACAATCAACCAGTATCATAAAAGTGGTAACCAACAAATCTATGGGTAAATTTCTTAAACTACTCTTATGGTTTAGCTAATTGACTAATTCTACCCTTACTGTTTGAAAATTGACTAAGTGTACCCTTACTGTTTCTGACAATACTAAGTGTATCCTAAACGGTTAAACATGGACAAAAAAGATAAAATGCCTCTTATACCCTATGCGAAATTACATTTTTATCCCTATTTTTCAACTTAACTCAAGTCCTCAAGGCTCAACCTGCCCTCACCGATTCTATAGTCTATGAGTCGAGTGTCTAATTATGCGTTTCACGCTGGAAAAGGAGATCGCCACAACCATCCGGCAACTTTACGGTCAAGCAATAAGGACTCCTATAGTTCTGTCAAGGCACAAATAATTAAAACCCATCAAGATTGATCAATAGAAACTTCTCTCAATCTTTGATCATGGAATGTTAATTTTATCAGATAGCCACATTCTCAAATACCCAGTTCGTCTCTTGCCCTCCTCACTCTTATGGACGCCTTCCCTCGAGAGAGAATGGTCACCACTTTCTTCAAACTTCGCACCATCTTCTCTGTAATTGTAATCCTTGCTTTGGTTCTGATCCTACACACTCACATCATTTTCTCCCAGGACATAGAAGGTAGTGAAGACTATGTGATGGACAACCCCTTCACCAACGCCCTCGCCGGAAAATGGTTCCTTGTTAGAATCAGGAAGGGTGCACACTGTGATGTCTCTAGGAACAACATCTATAATAGGGTATCGGTGAACAACGGGACCAGGCTTCTTCAGTGCTGCAAGACACATTGCTACAATGTTCTTGGAGACAAGAACAACTGTGGGCGGTGCGGGCACAAGTGTGGATTTGCAGAGCTCTGCTACCATGGGAGCTGCACCAAGGTAGCCTACAACGCCAGCAACTGTGGCAAGTGCGGTAACAAGTGTCATTCATTCTCTCTCTCTCCCTCCCTCCCTCCCTCCCTTCCGCCCCTGTTTTTTGCTGCAAGTTGCAACGTCAACGGACCTCTCCAGCAACATCTCTCTCTCTCCTCTTCGTTCTCCCTATTTTCTTCTTCCTCCGCCCCTCCCAAATCTACAACTCCCACCGTTGCTTCTTGACTCGCATTCGAAGAGGGCACCGACACCCCCTTCCCCTCTTCGTTCTCCCTATTTTCTTCTTCCTCCATCCCCTCTCAGATTTGTAACTCCCTAATATTTTCCGTCGACAAGATTTCTCCTTTCTTCCTCTCCTTCCCCGATGGTCATACGACTTTAAAAAAGGAGAAGATCACACCTGTCTGTAGATCTGCAAGTGAGAGAGACATCATCCTCAACATTCTTGTGAGGAGATAGACTGTAGAGAACAAGTTTGTAAAACCTGAAATGGTGATGGCAAATTTGAAGAAGGAGAAAATGAAGAAAGAGAATGATGGAGGGAAGAGAGAGAGGTTAGACCTGGTGAAAAGCTTACCCAACACGTGAACCCGACACGACCCAACCCGAAAAAATAGGGTTAGGGTCTCATATTTAGTTACTCGAATGTGAAAATGACTCGACTCAAAAAAACTGGGTTGGGTAATGGATCAACCCGTTGACCCGATTGTCAAGTCTAATTAGGATTATTTATGCATTGTTATAAGTTTCCACTCTTTAATTTTTTCTATTTAGTCTTTACTTTTTGTTGTTTACTCTTTAAATTGTTAAATGATCAAGTTTTTTATTTTATATTTGGAATTTTAAGGTTAATTCTTTTAATTTTAATATTTTTCATGTAATTTTTCTTTATTTTTTTTAAATTTCAATTATTTTTTGGGATGACCCGAATTGACCCATGGGTCAACCCTAACCCGAACATTTAGGGTTAGGGTCTAGCATTTGACAACCCAAACCAAAATTCAACCCGCTCAAAATCAACCCGAAATACCTTGACCCAATCCGAACCGACCCACCCAACCCAATTGCCAGGTCTAGAGGAGGTAGGGGCTTCTGGTCCAGAGGAAAGGGATGAGGCTAATATTGGGTTTTAAAAAATTTAAAAGTCACATAGTGTCACATGTATACAGATTTTAATGGAAAATTAACGGATGCTAGCGGTAAGGGTGAGCTAGTCAATTGTTAGAAAACTTAGGGTTATTATAAGACAATAGTTAAACAATAAGGGTATTGTTTGTCAATTAACCAAACGGTAGGGGTAGTTTAAGAAATTTACCCTAAATCTATTCATATGTTGGGCTTAGGCCTTAGGTTGAGCTTTTTCCAAAATTTGAACGAACAAGTCTAATAACTAATCAAATGGGGATAAGGGGTGACAAGGTGCCAATCGGTTAGTTGGTAAGGTCTCATGCTGGTTGTAACAGAGACTTGGGATCAATCCTGCCTACATCTGGGTTGGGGGGTTTTGGGTTTGGGGGATGGGCTACCCATGTTGTGTAGTCCCTTGGAGCAAAAAAAGGGGGGAAATTTCTGATTAGTACCTGTACTTTGGGCCTAGTGCCACTTTGGTCTCCTAACTTTAAAATATGACAATTTAGTATCAAAACTTTCAAAACGTGTCAATTTAGTACCTACCATTAAACAGCCGTTACTAATCAGAAATTTTAAGACATTTTTTAAAGATGGGTTGACTGGTCAAAGCTAAAACTCTTCTAGTATCATGTCTTTCCAGTATCATAGATTTATCCTTACATATAACAAAATAGAAAGTCCATGTTCAATAATATGAATTTTCAAGCCAATGAGTGATAATCACCCGTGTTAGGGTCTCTCTCAAAACACTTACATTTGATGAGAATTTCAGGCATATTGGAACATTTGTTGCAATTTAAAGGGGTGTTGGATAGCATGGTTGGTTTTGTTTTTGAAAACAAAAACAACTTTTCATGTTGTGGAACACCCCCTTAGGTTGTGTTTGGTTGCAGTGCAATTTTATTTGTACTAGTACAACTGCATGAGAGCGCAAATGAAAAAAATGTAAATTCTCGTTTAATTTTGTTTTGAGTTTTATGTTATTCTTCTTCATACCTTAATTTACTTCATTTGCACTGCAATCAAACAAAATAAGCTAAAATTTGAAGTAAAAATAGGCCAAAATTTACACTCAAATCATTTGCAATGTCATAGTTTTGCATCAATGCAAGTTTATTTGCATTGGTGTTTGGTACTGCAGTATTTCAGGTTGAACATTTGGTGCCACATAGGATGAGTGGAGTGGGAAAGATACGCAAGAAACATCGTTTTTGGCGTTCTTCCAACACCTTCATGCATGGCGCTCAAGGTAAACTCTGGCATTTTCATTTCATCTAAAAAATATTCAACAAAATAAGTTTTGGGATGTTAATGTCAAATCACCTAGCGTCTATTTGGCATTGTTGCTGTTGCTCTAGAAAACGGCACTACATCAGCGTCACGTTAGAAAAACAGTGCTCCAGGAAACGGACATTTGTTTGAAACCGTTTTTTCATAAAAAAACAGTGTTCAAAGTCATGCCTTAGAAATCAGGAAGGCATGGCTTGGAGTAACGCCGAATCTGGCGTTTCCTGGAGTTGCAACTCGTTGTTGCCAACATGAATATGAGGTGGTAGTGATGTGGCATTGGATAATGAGTACCAATGCTGAAAACATTTCTTGGAGCATTGGTACCAAACATTAAACATTGTTGTTTYTCTAGGAAACGTCCTACCTGGCAGCAACATTTCCAAACAAAAAAAAAGACAATATTTTCTCAGAAAATGGTGCTTCTAACCTACACATCAGCATCATCRATGCCAAACATATACCTATATAGTGATTGTCATGAAATCAGCATGAGAACGCAACGCGTTGGTACCACACCCACTTGGATATCTCTTAGGGTGCGCTGCAATTGCGCAAACATGTGATACCTGTTTTTAACTCTTAACATGAGGTGTTTACTATCTTTGCGTTGCATATCCACTTCTTCATCATGTTGGTGCCAAACAGGCCTTTAGACCTTACCAAACCATAATTCAATTTGGTTGGGCTGATGTACAAACATTTTATGCTGCATCTTATCTCAGCTTATGTGAAATTCACTTTTAAACTTAGAAAAAATATCATTCAAATATCTCATGCTGGAGAGAGGGGAGTTTTCTTCTATGTGGCCCCTGTATATAATTAAAATTTAAAAGTAATAAACAAATGTCGTATTACACTTTGTGCTCAGCCTAGATCTGGCAAAAAGTTGATCCAATCAGTAAACTCGGCCCAACCCAATCTGAAAAAACAAGGTTAGGGTTTCATATTTAGATATCTGAATATTTGAGAATGCTAACGTGACCCACTTCGGAAAAATTTGGGTTGGGTTGGGTTATGGATCAATTCACTAACCTGATTGTTAGGTCTAATTAGGATTATTTATGTATTGTTAAAAATTCCCTCTCTTTAATTTTTACTATTTACTGTATACTCTTTGAATTGTTAAATGTTCAATATTTTTATTTTATTTTTGGAATTTTAAGACTAATTCTTTTTGTTATGGCATTTTCTTGTATTCTTTCTTTATTTTTTTTTTAATTTCAATTATTTTTTTAGATGACCCAAATTGACCTGTGGATCAACCATAATCTGAACATTTAGGGTCAGGGCCTAGCACTTGCCGACTTAACCCGAAATTCAACCCGAAATGTATTGACCCATCCTGAACCCGATCCACCCAACCCAATTGCCAGCTGTAGCTCAGCCCTTTTTTCCATCTTCCAATACGGAAATCAGGTACAAATACAATGGTCATACATCACCATGCTACCAAACACCTACACAAGGTTCAAGCATCAAGACACCCGTTTGAGCCTTGCACTCACAGAGTGATGCAAATTTTGTATTCATACAATTGGTGCAAGTTATGCTATATGAAAGAAAAATGGAAAAAACCATGACAATGGAGAGACGAGCAGTTATAGCTATCTGAAGACCTGGATTTAGGAGCCAGGGGTCTGTCAAAAAATTTATAGAATTGCCATTACCAATTTGCCAAAATAGGCCCTTCTGAAGAACCTCCCTACCTTTAATAAGGCTTCTCCACCCCAAAGAACTGCACGGGGGAACTGTTGCTTGGAAGAAAGACCCATTCTTGAAGTATCTGCCTTTCAGCACCATGGCGAGGAGAGAGTTTGGGTTCGACACGATTCTCCAAGCTTGCTTAGCCAGGCACATGAGAGCCAAGTTCAAACTTTTTGGGTCTCTAAACCCTATCCCACCTTCCTTTTTTGCTTTACAGAATAGATCCCACTTGATCCAATGGGTTTTCTTGTTATTATCTTTGTATCCCCACCCAAATTGTCTCATTGCTTTAGTTATATCATCACAAATTGCTTGAGGGAGGAGAAAACAAGACATTGAGTACACTGAGAGGGCTGACGCTACAACTTTAATAAGGATTTCCTTTCCAGCTTGGGAAAGGAGTTGCTCCTTCCATCCTTGAGCCTTACCCATGACCTTTTCTTTGATATAATTGAAAGCCTCTTTCTTTGATTTGCCAATGCTGGCTGGTAGACCATGATACTTGATAGGTTTAGTCACTCTTTTGGAAGCAAGAGCTTTGGAGAGCATTCTTTGGATCATCTTTTTCATAATGGTTAAGAACCCTTAGAATCTCATCTCCTTCCTTAATGGAGGCCTTTATAAAAATGTGACTATCATCCACAAATAAGAGGTGAGTTATACCTAGACTAGAGGTGTAAATCGGGTTGGGCCACCTGTGGTCTGTCATGGCCTGGCCTGGCACGGCCCTCTAGGCCCGTAATGGGCCACACTCGGCCCGTGGCACAACACGGCATGAAGCACAGGCTAGTTTCAGCTTTTGAGGGGTTTATAGAAATACCCCCCCCCCCACCAACAGCTATAAACAGCCATATTAGGGGGGTATTTCTGTATTGCTTATGGGGTTGAAAATGACATAAATGCCCCCCCCAACAATTATATAACAACTAGTTTAGGGGGCATTTGGGTAAAGTTATAAGTAACTTTACAATAACCAAAATACCCCTCCCAACAACTAAATAATAGATAGTTTTTTTGGGTATGTTGGGCAATTGAATTATGCTCAATTCCTATAAATAGCCCTATCCTCCACCATTATCATCACACCAATTCAACAATTCTCTTAATTCTCTCTCTCTCTCTCCCTCATACTTATACATTCTCAATTATCTGCAATTTGAGAAATTCTAATTAACTGATTGTTTGATTCTGCATTCTCCAATTCTCAAGTCTCAACTTTATCAAACTTTCAACTTTCAACGAGAAGAAGGCTTGCTCAACCAGCTCAAGTATCTCAATCCGGGAAGCTTTGACATTGAAAGGCTTCAACCGTTGAAATCAAGTTGGGATTTTGAACCAGTAATCCGGGTAAATCTAATTAGATTATTTTTTATCTTTTTAGAATTAAAAAAAAAAACGACTGGCCCTTCTCAAAACCGATTCCCCAACATATTCACCATGGATGACATTCAATCGCATCACGATAGTATTAGTGTTAGCACTGATGCGTTTGATGTCGATGGAAGTGGAACTCTCACCCCCAATAGTAGTAATACTATAGGAAAAAGGAAGGCTTCTAAGCTAAGTAGCCCGGTTTGAAAATTTTTTAAAGTAGAGGATATTGAGGAGAAGGGGAAAAGGGACATTTACAAAAAATGTAGGAAAGACTTTATTTATTGTAGCAAGGGTGGTATGGGTCACTTGAGCAGACATCTGCTCACACATGAGTGAGAGGAAGATGAAGGGAGAGAAACAACCCAAACACATTGGGAGAGGGACTAGTTTTGGTACTTTTAGATATTCACAAGAAAAAATGAGACAATAACTAGCTAAGTATATTGTACATGCAGAACAACCATTTATGTTAGCTGAAGATGCAAAGCTAGAAAAATGGTTGCATAATACTATAAGAATTGATGCTGTAAAAATTTTTTATTCATATAAGCAAAATTTAATTTCTTTGTTAGCAAATCTTAATTCTAAAGTTGCAATTACTTTGGATGTTTGGACATCCAAATTTAATATTAGTTATATTTGCGTTACTAACCATTTTATTGATGAAAGTTGGCTTTTGAATAAAAGAATTTTAAGTTTTACTAAGCTTGAATGGCCACATAGTGGCCCAACTATTGCTGCAAGTATTTTAAATACTTTACATGCTTATGGATAATGCTAGCAATAACGATTCTGCAATAAATATTTTAAAATATCAATTAAAACAATGCTTAAATGGTAAATTATTTCATATTAAATGTTCATGTCGCATCTTAAATTTATGTATTCAAGATGCCTTGAATATTATTTCAAATCATATTTCAAAAATTAGAAATTGTATTATATATATATAAAGTTTAGGGGCAAGAAAACAAAAATTTAAATATTTATGCCAAAATTATGGTTTAAAATATAAACATTTTATATTAGATGTAAAGCATAGGTGGAATTCTACCTATGCTATGTTAGAAAGTTGTATATCTCCTAATCAAATTCTTTCTGATTTTTATAATTTAAAATGCCTAATGATATGATATTTAAAGAAGACTAGGAAATGACAGTCTGTATAAGAGATTTTTTAAAACATTTTTATGATGCAACAAATGAATTATCCGGAATTTATTATCCAGCTAGTTGTAATTTACCATATCAATTAATGGTAATTAGTGATTGTTTTTCCAAATATAGGAATAGTCCACAACTTCAATGTATTATTGAAATTATGGAAAATAAATTTAAAAAGTATTGGGAGAATATTTCTCCCCTTAATTGTTTAGCTACAATATTAGACCCTAGGATTAGGAAAGATGGTTTAGATATTTTACCTTAAACATATTATGAAAATATGAATATTGATATAGAAAATAAAAAAAGAAGAAATTAATAATTTATTATTTGAAATGTATAGTTTGTATGAATTTGAATGTTCATATTCTTCTTTTTCTCCTTCTAACTTTGAGCCTAGTAATAGAAGAGAAAAGTTTTTTTATTTAATAAGTAGAAGGCATAAATCTGCTAGTTCTACAACAAGTTCATTTACTGAACTTAATTTTTATTTGCAAGCAAATTTTTCTAATTTAGGTGAAGTATCAAATAATTTTGATATTTTAGCCTAGTGGAGTGAATACTTGAAAATTTATCCGGTTCTCGCCGCCATGACACGTGATATACTATAGCCCTTTCGGTGTCTACAATGTGATGGATGACAAAAGAAGGGTTTGTTGGATCACACCCTTTGGTGTGATTTACTAACCCCTTCGGTTCTCACCGCCATCGGAGTCTTGTTTTAGTGTAGGTACCAGGGTGATGGATGACAAAAGAAGCTGCATGAACCATGAGAGCATAGAGATGTGCATCTTCTTCAAGGATTGGCTAGATGCAGAAGATAAATTACAAGACAAGGGAGGACATGATACAACACCGAACATTTCACCCGAAGTAGATGATGAAAGTCATGAATGGTTCATGAATTTGACTACTTGTAGAATTTTTCATTTTTTCAAATTATTGTAAATTTTTTTAATTTTATTTAATTTATTTGATATATATATTTAAATTTTTTAACAATGCAATTTTGTATTTTCAATTTGTAACCATATTGTATTTTTTATATTTTATTAATTTATTCCATTTTTATATTTCATTCATTCAAGTATGCAATGATCCAATCATTGTATTTGTAATTCACTAATTTGTACCATTCAAATTTAAATGAAATAAAATTCATATTTTTCTTCCAATTTGTTATTCCATCATTCTTATTTCAATTTGGTTAAGTATTTTTTTTTCATTTATGTATTAAATAACTTAGATTTCTCATTTCTTAAATTTTTAAATAGTTCCTAATTCCCAAAGTTCATAGGAAAGTTAAATATTTTAATTTTACAATTTTACTTAGAAAAGAAACCAAAATTTTCAAAAAAATAAAAAATAAAAATAAAATTTTCAATTTTACCTTCATTTTGGAGATGCTCTATGTTTGAAGACAACACTTCAGAGACCAGGAGAAACAAGAAAGGAGATAGTGGGTCCCCTTGATGAAGGCTTGTAGTGGGATGGATGATCTGGTTAGGGGAACCATTTGCTAGAACCTTGTAACTAACAATAGATACACATTGGTTATATCTAGTTTCTCCATTTTGGGCCAAAACCCATCCTTGATGACCTGATCAAAGAAAAGGCCATTATACCCTATCATAGGCTTTGGTCATATCGAGCTTGATAGCCATAATTTTATCCTTTTTCCTGCTAGAATTCATATGATGGAGAAGCTCATGAGCTATTAGAATATTGTTAGAGATCGGCCTTCCTTGGATGAAAGAACCCTAGAAGGGCCCAATGATGGAGTCCATTACTTTCTTTGATCTATTTGCCAAGATCGAACCCTAGAAGGGCCCAATGATAGAGTCCATTACTTTCTTTGATCTATTTGCCAAGATCTTCGCAATGATTTTATAGGAAGTGTTGCAAAGACTGATGGGCCAGAAAAGAGAAAGGTCTTTGGGGTTCCTACACTTGGGGATCAAGGCTAGGAAGGTGTTATTTAACTCAACTAACATTCTACCTAAGGAGAAGAATTCGTTGACTGCATTTATGACACTACTCTTAACTTGGTCCTAGAAATTTTGAAAGAAAAAATTTAGGTCAGTCTAGGCCTTAGATTTTAATACAAAGGCGCACCCTGGTTAAGTCTTGGTAGCACTACACAGTTGTATCAAAAATATTAGTTTTCTATATATCAAGACCTATTTTGCAGCAAACCAAAACATAAAAAAAAAGAAAAGTTTTTTATACATCATCAAGTCATGCATCATATATAATCATTCTTCCTACCTAACTTGTAACCAATCAATCAATATCATATAAAAAAATCAATATCATCTTTGTTTGGCAGCATAATTTTTCATTCTTTCTTGCCACTTTCATTCAGGGCCACAGAAGGTTCAGATCTACTAGCTACAAGACTACATTCACATATCAAGAATAGCTTATGCTTTTTGTTATAATTTATAGGGAGATATTCTTGATATGCAACTGAGTAGTTGTTATATCTTAATGAGTGAAAAACTAGAAATGATAAGTTTAGAAATGAAATTATCATAGGAATTTAGGAATAATTCATTAGGCAACAAAATGAGAGAGTAGAAAACCACCAATTATGCCGATTAGAACCTTCAAATAGGCCAAAAAAGACTGTAGAATTAGTAATAAATGATTTAAATACTAACAATTTAGCAGTCAATATGAACTTAAATAAAACAAATTGGYCAAACAGGATTTATTTATTGACCCCACATAATTGGAATAAGGTATGGATGATAATTGTTCAAGTCACGGTTGAGTTGGCCAAAGATGCCACATGGCAATCTTCATGGCCACTCTCTCTCTAGCCATGTCGACACTACATATGACAAAAAAGCATGACTAAGAAGGAGTGTCTTGCACGGACAAGAAAATGGACTTTGCCGGAAAAGAGGAAACCTCTTAAAGACCTCGATAAACGACCTCATCTCAACAACCCCAGAAGCCTTATCCATCTGGAACACAAACACCCAACTACAAATAGGTATTCCCCACTCAAGGTAAGGGACCTTTGGGATGACACTCTTTGAATACCTCTTTGCATTATCTTTTTGGCTTAGACTAGCGCTACTTCAACATACTTGGCTTGGCCACCTCCTTCTCTACCCAACTGATTTGAGTGTCAGAGTACCTATCTGGGGATTAACTCCTCGGGCTTCCGTCCTTTCCCCTGGTTGCAGATCTCGGCGCACAACTTCGTCATCCACCTTAGCCTCCGTCTAGTTGGCAGGATTATCTTATTGTGTCATCGGTTTGGAACACCTCAGATCGAACAATATCAATAATGATGATGTATGTATAGTTGACACATGATGTTGCCAACGTTTTATGGGCAGCAACTCGGAACTTAGAGTTTCAATAGTGGTGGGTCACAGTGGCACTCTCAGCGAAAGTGAGTTTTAACTAATAAATTGGGATCAACTCCTCACAAAATGCACCTCACACTAACCTTACAACCACATTCCATATTGAAAACATTGAATAATAAATATAAATATGAAAGATATTCCCAATGTGCAGCCAAAGCATATTGTGAGGTCGGTGTAAGAAGCAGATCCGAACTCCTAAGTCCTAACTAATGAGGTCCCAGCAAGCTTTAACACACCAATTTGTGTTTACTATTCAAGTCTGAGACTCGGGGGGAATTCACATTTGCGCCTCATAGAACTCGTTTTGGCTGTTTTTAAAAAATTAACAGCCTGAACTGTTTTAGAAACCTATTATGATTGAGCCCGCAGGCCAGGTTAGGGAGTTCACATCTCCGCCCCACAACGCCCCACAGCACATCCCGCCGTATATTGGTAGATGGGCGGAGATGTGAAGAGGCCAGGTTGCCAAACAGCCGAAGTGATCTCGTCCCACTGGCACCCCACAGCACATATCAACCGTGTATTGAAAACATCTCCCAATCATAATTTCCGGAGATGTTTCGATGCACGCTGAGATGTGCACGTGGGGCGCAGATGTGAGGGGTGAGTGGGGATTGGGGCAACAATCGAGTAGGTTACCTTATCCACTCTCCTCGTGTCCGTTGCGGGTTTACAGTTATATACAAAGTGATCTAGAATAGGAAGGTGGATGCAGAGGCCAAAACCAACGGATTCATTTTACCTACAAACCAACTATAAGCGATTTCCAATGTATCGGACGGTATTTGATCGTTGACCTCCAATATAGTCAGTCGGAGTGTGGGACCCTAATCCAAACCTTGTTTCCATTATCTATTGTACTGATGATGACCGTTAATATTTTTTAAAAAAGTGTACCTAATCCCTTAGTTAACTACCGCCGCTTCTGACCTGACCTGGTTTTTTCTTTTCCCGCGTTCCTCTACCCAGTCATCTCATCTCCGCCTGTAAGAAAGAAACAGAAGGAACCGAGCTTTATTCCTCAACTCATCAACGACTTCTTCAAACCCTAACCACCCCTCTTTCTCTTTCTCTTTCTCTTTCTCTTTCTCTTTCTCTTTCTCTTTCTCTTTCTGTAGAAGTGTAAATCTTTCTTTTCGTCTCTCAATCTCATGTTCTTTCACCTTCTCGACCATGTCGCCTCTCTATCTCTTCTTATTCTGCGCTCTATTCGTTGCAGTATATTCTCAATCCTCACCTTCTAGGCCTACAGGTAGTAGTTCGATCTCCACTCCGTCTCCCTGAATTTAAACTTCATTATCTCAATTCATTCTCTGTTCCCTTATTCATTTCAGGTTTATTCATCGACTGCGGCGCCACCGCACGCTACGATAATATATGGGTCCTTGACAACGGGTATGTCTTCTCGGGAGTTCCCAGATCAGTAATTATACCTGAAAACCCCTACTTTGTCCGGACGCTCTCCACCGTCCGGTCTTTCCCTCTCGAAGGCCATATTCGCCGGAAATTCTGCTACGTTCTGCCGGTCACCCGCAATGTCAAATACCTCGTACGGACCACATACTTCTATGGGGGAGTCAATGGCAGAGATTCGCCTCCGGTTTTTGATCAGATAGTCGACGGGACGTTCTGGAGCGTCGTGAACACGACGGAGGATTACGCCATGGGGAGATGGTCTTACTATGAAGGGGTCTTTGTTCCTGCTGTGAAGACGATGAGCATCTGCGTTGCTGGAAATACGTATACGGATTCAGATCCGTTCATTTCTGCTTTGGAAGTTGTTCGTTTGGACAATTCACTTTACAACTCCACAGATTTCAAGAAATATGGTTTGAGTTTGGTTGCAAGGAACAGTTTTGGATATGGAGGACCCCTCATCAAGTAAGTTGTGCAAAGTTACATATAACATTTATTTTTCTGTTCACGGAGCTGCTTGTGTTTTATCCTTTCTTCTTTCTCTTTATCTTCATTTTCTGATTGATTAGGGATCATGCTATGTCCTTGTATCGCCCTCTGAACTTTCTTCTTCTTTCTTTGAACTGATTTTACCTTGTTATTGGAAAAAAAATAAAATTTGAAACGCCACCGCTTACAGTGACAGGTTAGAACCCGAAACTGAGGAAAATTAAAATTAAAGAACTGATGTTGAGATATATGCAGTCTGTTATAGTAAATACAGAACTAGAAATGTGAAGTCCATAAATGTTGAATTCTATGCAAGGTTTCTGGTCTAATTATCCTCTACTGAAAGAGTGAAACAGAAGGAAGACCAAAAAGGAAAGAAGAAAGAGAAGAAAAGCAACGCTCAGATAACCGATCAACCAACCAAACAAAGAAATTTTAAGACCATATCTCTCTTGCAGGCATTTCTTTTCATATGTAATATCCAGGAAGAATAGTAATCTAGAAAGAAATTGGTATTCCAGATAACTAACTACAAACACAATGTATTTGCTTTCTCCAGGAAAAAAGAAGAAAAGGAAAAAGAAGTAAAACCTACAAATACAACATGGTCCGGATAACTAGTTGAGGAAAAATTAGAAAGAAATCCTGTGGTTTACTAATACTTGGTTTGAGAACCAGGGTAATGATTATATTGCAAGTTGTAACTAATTTGGATTTTGTCCTGCCAGGGATCTTGGTGCAAGTAATTGTGCGCCTTTCCCTTTTAACCATTTATCACCGAAAACATGTAAATATTTTTTGTTTTTTGAATTTGAAACTCCAGATTCCCTGATGACAAATTTGATCGATACTGGGAGCCATTTGGAGAGATCAGTCCTACAATACAAAGCTTTAGAAATCTCTCAGATTCTGGTATTTGGAATCTTCCACCCTCAAAGGTATTTAGCACTGAGTTAACGTCTGACCAAGGAATGCCCAGGGAGTTGCGATGGCCTCAAAGATCTCTTCCGAACTCCACCTACTACATTGCTCTGTACTTCGCGGATGATCATGATGCTTCACTAGGGAATATAACAGTATTAAACATTGCTATAAATGGAATACAATATTACAGCAATCTGTCTGTGACTTCAGCTGGTGTTGCTGTTTTTGCCACACAATGGCCTCTCTCTGGTCTTACAACAATAACTTTGGCTCCTCCTCCTGGGTCGGCTATGGGTGCTTTGATCAACGCTGGGGAGGTTTTTAATGTGTTGCCCCTTGGAGGAAGAACTCTCACACGAGATGGTTTGACTCATGACTGACTCTACTTTTTTATTAATCAAACATGGTGTCTTTTCTCATAGGGATTACCTTCTGTACGAGGATTGTTGCTTTGTTAGGCCACTTCTTAGATGGAATATAGCTTGAAATTGCACCAATTTTTACATACCTAACCATTTTACTAGAGCCATACCATGACTGGCTAAGCAAGATACAGACAAAGTGAGGTGAATGGTTAGGAAAAAGAGGCACACTGTGATGCAATCTGACACCTTGATTCTATACTGTGTTGCATTGAGCTGTTAGATTGGCCAAGTATTAGGCTATGCTCAATCCAAGAAGTGGCATGTCAACTAGACAATCCGTAGAATTTGGAACATATGTCATGTATGTGTGCATGGCTCCCCTGAGCAGGAGAATGAACTCCTGGAAAAGATGCCTAATATGACATTGCATTGCCTATTGCAGTAGTTGCTTTGAACGTAGTGAATAAAAGTCTAGAAAATCCTCCACTTGATTGGAATGGTGATCCTTGTTTACCTCGCCAATACTCATGGACGGGAGTAGTTTGCTCTTATGAAACCCGGATTCGTGTGGTTGCTTTGTGAGTTGGATTTACTGTTATTCATTGCCATCTATGGTTCATTCAATACTTAAATTATTATAAAGTAACTCACTTTTTTATTTTTTCCCAGAAACCTCACAAGCATGGGAATTAGAGGACCTCTATCACCTGAAATTGCCAATTTGACTGCATTAACTGAGATGTAAATTCTTGAACTTAACTGTTCTGCTTAGAATAATATTTGATGATCAAGACTTTTCTAGTGCCTTTTTGTTTTCTGGACAGCTGGCTTGGGAATAACACTTTCTGGGGAACAATTCCTGATCTAAGCAATTTAAAGATGCTGGAGACATTGTACGTCATGGGCCTATCTTTTATTCCCTTAAATATGATATTTTTAAAACAACTTAAGGTTTGTGATGCAGCATAGTAACTAGATTCGTGGGCTATTAAACCCTAGGACCTAGACCACCAACCATTAGACTGTAAAATGTAGTCATCATACTCTTGTAGGTTTAGTTCTTCACTCTCTCTTCTGTGGGTTGCATGATCTATGTTTGAACCTGTAGAGCAACTTTTGTAAAGTAGTGTATGTGCTATTTGATCTTTACCCTCTCTAATTTATTGTCATCATTCACTGAAGGCATTTGGAGGACAATCATTTTAGCGGGGTGATTCCTCCGTCGCTGGGGAACATTGTCAAGCTGCGTGAACTGTAAGTTGTATTTTCTTAAGATTAAATGAATATATTTGCTTTGCACTAGTGTTTCATTTATGGATGTTTATACTTTTTGTCCTCTTAAATATGTCACTGTGACATTGTAATTGATCTATCACTTTATTTGATTTGTTCCATGATTTGCTTGTTACTGTTATGCATGGTTATAATGGTCTTATGGGAATTCCAGACCTTTAGAGTGCTAGTTCTTTCATTAAGGTCCTTCACAGAACTACTTCACATCAAAAGTTTTTTTACTTGGAGTTGTTGCAAGGCTTAAAGTTACCCTCAAATACATCCAATAGAGTTTCTAATGAATGATGCTATCTTTTGGATCTTCTTATTGGAACCATAAGATCTTAAGGTTACAATTAAAACCCAGTCAAATTCAAGATCTGCTGTTTCTCTGATCATGGACTTGATCTTATAGGATTCAATTGTCCACATTTTTGTCCCATTAGGTTCTTAGAAGTGATTCTCTAACCTTTTAAACCATACAGAAATAATATAATGAAAATTTGCCTTCCTTTCTGTGCTACCTGCTACCTCTTCTTATTAATTGAACAATATCTTCCCAAAGACATAAGTTTATCTTTAATGCAGCCGATTTCAATTCCTGTACCARGAAATTTGAGAACTCCTAATAGGTTTGATTCTCAATTAGTACAGTTTAAATTTCTCCAGAATCATGTTCCAGAACCTGCAGAAACAATATGGATGTGCTGATAAGTGGAGATGATAATAATCTAACAAACCAGAGGCATACTGGAAACTCTATTATTGGTTTCTTGACTGAAACTGCTTTCTTATCTATCTCTAGCTGATACTGATTTATGGTTGGACATCATTCAAACTAACCCTGCCACCTGTTTGGTACCATGTCTTTCTTTTAATAACCTTGTAACTTGATAATTGATGATATTTTCTGTCTATTTAGCCTGCAAATGGTTCACCAGTTGTGAATTTGGTTCTATTGGACTCTTTTTTTCCATTTTTTTAACTGATTTACTTACTGACATCATGGTGTATTTGCCTTCAGTTATATGACCTTTTCATAGTTGATTTACCTTAAAGATCCTAGTTTTATAATTTATCATTGTGATAGGTTCTTTGTTCTACTGGTGTCAATCACATGATTGGATTGCATTGCCCAGGTTGCATTGTTTTTGAGTTGATTCATTTCACTCTATACATGAGAAGAGACACTAAGTTAAAGACCATGTAATCTCGTGTGTGTGTGTGTGTGTGTTGGGGGGGGGGGGGGTTCTTGCTCCAGAAATACATTGGATTCTTGCTCAGACAAAAGGTATGCATGTTAATGAATCAGAAATACTTTCTCCTGGGAACTTACTCTTCATCTTTCTTGAAACTTGAAGCAAATTGAAGTTAATTTCTTGGGTGTTCTTCCGTAAACAAGTTGGTATCCATTACTACCACCACACCCTTATCAAGAACGAATGAGAGGTTATGTTAATCCAACTCGTCAATGATTCAAGTGGTAGTGGTACCTAAAAACAAGTCATTGCTGTCTATACACCACCTCATTTTCAGTCATTACTTGAAAATTGGCTATCATTAGAAATGATGAAACTATGTTTTAATAAGAATAGGAATGCTAAGGCTACAGTAAACTACCCAGTGCACGGTGGGTACCTTGCCTCGTATATTTTAGGGCTTCACATGAAACATTGAGCCCTATACAGTGTACCAGAGCCATGCTCTTCAAGGCAAGGTTACCCACTGTCATAAGAAGCTCACTGTAGCATTAGTCTTAATCGAAATTATAATGCTGCTTTGTATGATCCCTTTATTGCAATGGTCTAGTTATTTGATGATGTCCTAAAATTAGCAGTTTAGCACACTTTTAAGTAGTGTAATCCTTTTTCTAGTAAGTATACATGTATATGCATTTATGTATACAATTATTTTATTTTTTTGCTCCCTCATAAGTCTTATCTCCTTCCTCTATGGTGGAATATCACCACATTTCATCAATCTGACTAAATATTCTTATGTTATCCGTAACCATGCATGACTGGTATCTTCATTTGTGTTGATTTATTTCCATAAAGAATAACCTCAACTAGTCAATCCTCCTGGATTTTATTTCAGGTGTCAACATATCTTTCTATTTATTGAGTAATAGAAATTGACAGATCATTTTGAGACTTGACATGCTTACTGTCATTGTTCCTTTGTGTTTTCAGCTTCCTCCAAAACAACGAACTTGGAGGTGAAGTCCCAAACAGCCTTAAAGTAAAACCTGGACTGAACCTTAAGTGAGTCAGAACATCCTTGAGTTATGATTGCACTTTATTTAACTAAAGATAAACCTATTAATTGATTTGATTTTCTTCCTAGGACTTATGGGAACCAATTTTTAGTGCAAGCGCCTCCAACAAATTAATTTGTGCATGAAGGTAAAATATAATAGTGCTGAAATTAATAGAACCTTGGTATCTTTGGCAAGACTAAATTCATTCCTCTTTCTATGAATTCCAGAGTCAACTCTACTACAAATTTCTGTGGGTGCTTTAGAGATGCATATTTCAAGTATCAGAATTGGAATTTCACCCGGTTTGGCACCTCTGTAAAATACTGATGAAATAAGACATAGTTAGTGCAATTTGGAGCACCAATGTACATGCGGATTGCTGTACGCAGTCAGATTGACTCTTTTTCTGCTCAGCAAGCTTCAAGGCGTCCTCTCACAAATATTTGCCAGTGATGAATGACTTAGAAAGTCCTATGTCCTCTGTAAATGTTTCTCTTGCTTTTCTTTATGCAGTATGGATACATCTTACATGTATTTGAAGCTAGAATTTGACATAATTGGATATATATGATTTTTTTTTTTTTCATTCGCCATGTTTATATATATCATACTTCATTTTTAGTTTTTGTTGCACAGAACGTGGTGTAATCACTTCTTCCCTTTTCACAAATGCCTGGCAGTGCATTAGACACATGGCTAGGAGAGGAAAGGTCAAATGAATCAATGGGTGATTGCTTTTAAATCAACTGCAAGGAAGTTCCGAATTTCACTATCAATTGAGTTGGGTTAAGTCGAGTTATAATTTATAATAAAAAGCTACACTTAGGATGTATAACTTTGTTATTATAAGTGCAAAATATTATAATGAACATGGATAACACATACACAAAAAAAAGTGGTATAGCATATCTAGTTTTCTACTGGCCCTGTTGAAACCTTCTCAAGTTCAAGGTTCAGAATATCACAACATATCAGTGCATATTGCACAATACGTAACGAATATGTTGAATATAAAAGGAATTAGGATTTCATGTCAAAAGGTAGTGATTTCATCAAAAAAAGTTTTTCATATATAATGACAATCCACTTCACTGCCTTCCATGGTTTCTTAGGACCATGGGTCTGGATTCTATTTCGATTGCACATGTGCTAATGTTTGCAAGAATCCTTATTCTTAGAGCAGTCCTTGGAGATGGAGGATGCTGTTTCAGTGGGCAACTTGAAATTACATTCACGTTTTACATTAATTTTTGGGTTGCTCAAGAAAGTGAAGCTTGTCTAACTCCCATAAGCTTAAGCATGGAGTCATAGGGAGACAAAGGGAAAGACAATTCTTGACCAATGGTAACTTGGAGGTAGCAAGAGACATAACGATCCGCTAATTGCATTCAAAATTGATCAACAACAAACTAACTATTGATAATGTTGATTTTTTACATGTTTTTTATGATAGTTTGTACTGCAAGGTCACTCTTGTTTCTTTTTCAGTTACGCTCAGATTGGAAGGAGTACAAATGCAAATATGTAGAGTGCAAAACCTTATATTTTATAATATTGTTTGTATTTGTACTATACATATTTGTATTTGTACTCCTTCCAAACTAAGCCTCAAGTATAAACAATACAAGGGATGCTGCCAAACAAGATTTTTGCCTTCTTTGGCTTGAATTGGAATCAAAATCTTTTGGAATTGAAATCAGAATGGTCCATTCCCATAGTCTGTTTGATTCACACAGAAATAGGGATGGAAATTAGAATCAACAGGAATGAGATTTCACTCCCGAGGGGCAGGGAGTGGTCATTCCCTCAAATGGAGAGGAGTGCCATTCCAGCAGGAATAGGAATGGGATTCTGCCCAACCAAATAGTTGGATCGGAATCATTCCGATTCCACCAGAAACCTATTACTGCAATCAAACGGGGCCTAATTCTTTGGTGAAGAATATGTTATCAGAGCATCTTCTTGGGCAATAGAAGATCTCAGATCGACTTCTCCCTTCAAATCCTTTTCCTTTTTTTTCCTGAACTTTGGAAAAAGTTCTTTCCTTATGACTGATCAAACCAGCAAACGTACATCTCTCATTCTCTTTTGTTCTTGGCCCCAATGCCAAGGGAATCAATTGGTGGTAGCCGAATGCTGTAAACAGTCTTTTTTAGGGTCGTGTGCCTTTCTCTTGTTGCTGTAGTGGATCGTGTGATCATGTGCACAACAGGTATGTGCTACGAACAGTGTGCGCAGTGTTGGTGATGAGCAAAACTTGTTTTTTGGCTGTATAGCCAGTGTGTGAGAAGGGCTTCAACAGTTCCTATTATTTGACTCGGGTTTACTGGTTTAGTCCCTAATTTTTTCCATCGCGTGTGCTGGGTTCTGTTTATTGAGTTCGCTGTGCTTTTGGTGGTTGGGTGCTTGAGTGAACAACTGATCGGCAACTGACGATTCTGCATTGTCTGGAATTACATCACTTCAGGGAACATCTACCGAAGGGGCTGACAGCATGAATTTCCTTTTGCGTATTACCCCATTGAATGGATTAAATTATCTGGAATGGTCCAAGGGAGTAAAGCTGTATGTTACAACAGGGGAAAATCTAAATCAACCTATTCAGAGCAAAAGCACTATGCAAAGATTTATCAATTACAGGTCCAATCCTTTATCTATAAGTAGGGGGCCATAGCTTGTATGCAACCCTCAGTGTAGGAGTTAGATCACTACCAAACAATTGAATGGAAAAATGATGATGATGCAAAGGTGCACAATAAGTTAGTTTCACAGGAGTGGGTGTTTGCATTCTTGTTGCGACTGAACCCAGTGTATGAACCTCTCAGGGTTCAGATTTTGGGGAGTAGTGATCTTCCTTCAGTCTAAGAAGTTTATGCCATAATACAATCTAAGAAAAGCAGAAGTGTGATGGTTACAACTGGGGGGGAGTTACAGATTGCTTTGGCTGCAAAGGGTGGTGGCAATGTAGTGAGGATGACTATAAGAAGGGGGATTACAAGGATAAGTTGTGGTGTACCCATTGCCGACAATCTAGGCATACACGTGAGACTTGTTGGGGTCTTATTGGGAAGCCAAAGTGGGTAGTTAAAAGTCAGGAGTCAAACAAGGTACAAGGACACAGCCAATGTAGCAGCATGTGATTCTCAGCCTAACAGTACTACTACTGGGAACACCCAGATAGGGGTGTCAATTGGTCCGAATTTGGTCCAATTCGATCCAGTCCGATATGAGTCCATTACAAATGGACCAGGTCCAGTCCAATTTGATGAATACTTACCATTTTGGATCAATCCAATTCAATGTCTGGACTATCCAATCTGTTCAAATTTGTTTTCATCTAGATTGATTCCAATCCAAACCTGGTCCATTGACACTTGTATTCTTAATGGACCAAATATTAGTTCAATCCAACTCAATCCAATATAAATCTATAGCAGATGGACCGGGTCCAATCCAATCCAATCCAATAAATAATTTGGACCATTAAGTTTGGACCAGGCCAATTAGATATGTCTTATTGGTCCGTCCAATGTGTCTAAATTGATTTTGATTCCGATGGGGCCCAACCCAAAATCGATCCATTGACACCCCTACACCCAGGGGCATCATACTAGTTCAGACCCTAAAGAGGAATTCATCAATCTGTTTCATGATCACCTGGAAACCTATGGTAGGGCCTTGCGTCCGACGGATGGTGCAGCCAACACTCCTTCCACTTCATTTGTGTCTACATCAAGTAATGCTGCTTTTGATTCATCAGTTATGGGGAGTTGGGGAGAAATGGGTGGTCAGGTGCTGCTGAATTATGCAGTTGCTGGAGACGAGACGAAGGTCAGGGGCGATATTGTGTGGGCGGTGGAAATTCGGGCTGTGTGGGAGTGGTGGGGAGGGAGGAAAAGAGAAAGATGAAGGAACAGGCTAATTGAAAGAAAATTAGAAGACATCTGAAGGGCATCTGTGTCATTTCACATGTCACTTAACGTCCATTAACAATTTTGGACTAAATTGATAGGTTTTGGGAGTTCAGTACTGCAGTGGCAAGTTTTGAAGTTCGGGTACTAAGTACTAACTTGTGACAACCCCTAAAGTACAGGGTACTATTCTGGCACTTCTGTGTGAAAGCTATAGTTTAATGCATATGATGTGAGGATGAGCTTCAGGCAAATAGAAACAATTATTTATGTGTGTATATGTAACTTCTATGCCAACTGCCAAATATTTTCTATATTGACTGACCGCAGGAATTCCTCTGCAAAAGTTCAATAGAATGGGAAAACATTAACAGATGATCCTGTCACAGCATACAGTGCCAAAGTAGTAATTCCCCTACAGCCTGTTCATTCAATGTTTGCCACTTGAAACAGCAAGGACTAAGCTGGAGTACCCTGTTTTTGGTCCTTATCCAAGGAACAAACAACAAATTATCTCATAGTTCAATTGGAATTTCCTTTTCTATTATTTATTTGACATGATTTTATTTCTAAGTAGTTCAAATATCCCCACATTAAATGGAGAAGGGTTCACTAAATACAAACAGCGTATTCATTTCAGTCTCAGACCATGCTGATTTCTGACAAATAGTAAAATGTACAATGTAGAAAGAACTACTATTCAGTTTTCATCTAGATGGTATTTACAAATGCAGAAGAATGATATTGGTTTCAAAGCAAGGCAACTCAAATCCATCCATGGCATCTTCAAGGCACTAAAAACTCAACTCCYTCAATTTATTTGGTCATACTAAGGAAACCCAATCAGTATTGGATTTAATTTTCAGTGGGTCTTCACACCAGTTCAAGTACATAACTTTTTTTTATGAAACTTAGTGCTTCCACCTCTTTATTTTTATTCTATGTTTCAATTTCCATTTCTCCCCAAACTTTCTCTAGTCTGCGTGTGACTGAGGACATTGAGGGTCGTTTTTGCGGATTCTCTTCTGTGCACATCAAGCATATATCAAATATATGGGTACATAATTCTTCTAGCTTTTGTTCAGCATTGCTTCCACCTTTGTTATATGCTTCCTTCTTTAGAGATATGTCCACAACATCCAAAATTTGATTGGGAAATGAAGAAATGACCCAATTCCTTAGATTGGATCCATCAGAAAATATGTCACTTGTTGGTCTCTTCCTCGTTACCATTTCCAACACCATTACCCCAAAACTATACACGTCTCCTTAATCTGATACCTCAAAGCTCTGTCCGTATTCTGCACAGAAGCATTGGAAACTCTTAGCCCAATTAAGTGTTTCTTTATTTCAAAGAAAAAAAAGCATTCACTTAGCAAAATCAAAATTAATGGAATTTACTAAATGAATTAGAAATTTTATCAATTAGTTTTATGAGATGCTCTTTTAATTATAAACCACTCAAAGCAGTGTTAGTAATGTTCTATGGACTTTTATCAATTAGTTTGATCTGAATATTATGTGCCTGGACCAAAATATAGGAAGAAAATAGAAAAAAGCTTTCTCATTTGAGTCTTGAAAACATTTGGTTCTGTTATTTATTAACTATAGAAGTGAAAATCATATAGTCTTTTGACTTTGGAAAGGGAAAAATCTCTACATGATCAAAATCATAGATATGAATTGATTCTCTAACTATGTGTCCATGAATACATTGTCAGTGATCTGTTGTGAAACATAAGACATATGAATCATCATGAAAATAGTAGAGAGATTGGTCCCTCTAATCTGTGGCTTGAGGTTTTGCCAATCATAGCTTCGATTTGGTAATGTTTTTTCATTCAGTTGAAACAAGTATATCCTATGGAGAAGCTAATGAGAAAGAAGTAATTGATAATTATGCTATGGTGAAGAATTTGTGATCATCGACTTCTCAGTAAAGATAAATATCCTCCCTCCTGTAAATCAAGTAAGCTGCATCATCAAATAAGCTATCCTAATAATATAGGACCTGTTGTCTCAATACATTATGGTCTTAGTATTTAGTAGATCCATCATGGTTGGATTCAGTTCATAGCTAACAAATAGTAAGTTTTCTGATTGGGTATAACTTTTTATTTGTGTAGTACTCTACTCAACTCAACTTAGTCTTAATCCCAAATATTTGGTGTTGACTAAACAAATCCTGTCCGGCCATTTTGCTCCATCAATAACAATTTTTTCCCTTTCATATTGTAGATTTTATAGCGAAGTACTGTAAAAAAATTATGATTTTTTATATAGTATATGCTGATTTATTTACCTCCGTTTTGATTGATATAGAGAGACTTTTTAAAAGAATTCAAAACTTGGGATATGCTCTAAGTTATGGGAACCATGGTAAATTGACAATTTCAAAACTTCGAAGTTTGTATATTTTATGTCAATCTTTTATTTGACTGACCTAGAGTTTAGTGTGTTCTTTTACTTCAAAATCATCAATTATAGTATATAGATATTTGCTTTTCTAAGGTCATCGATAGTTTCTGAGGTATAATTTGTCGATGTTGAATGGAATCTAGTCTTTGGGCTTTAAAAAAAAAGAAAATAAAGAGTCAAGATGGGTTCTATGAATGATAGTAAATGGCTGGCGAAGAGTTAGGAAGTCTAGATTAAGGTTTATGCAAGTAAACTCTCTAACTTCAACCTTGTGAAGGTTGAACCAAACCTATTTGGCAAACTCCAAGATGCCATAGCCTGGATACGGTGCAGGTGCAAGCTGTTAATTCAGACCCATTCTATGGCTTTAATTTGGATAAGCACAGCCATAATAGCTTAAGCAAGTTTGAATCGCCACTAAGTTTGAGAAAAAAAACTCTAAAATAATCACAGGAGTCATTCTGTACATCTAGATAAAGTATCTTTTTTATATTCACCTCCATTATGGTGGTTTAGTTCCCATTGACCTTTTTCTGATATGCACCAAGTGAATGGTGTTCCCAAAATGTAGCTCTGTACAGCTTGTTGATTTTAAGTCGTTTTGTCCAACTGTTCAACCAATAAATCCAGGATATCTTATACTACTTGGATGATGAAAAGTATTGCAAATTATGCAGTTGCATAATTTTATTTAACCAAAATGGGCATTGTAACTTTTGAAAATCCAGTGCTCCCTATGCAAGAGATTCCTAATTACACAAATAATAACATCAAGTTTTTCTAGTTAATACATGTCCTGATTTTTTTTTTCATATTTGCTTGAGAACACATGTCCTAATAATTCATATCAAAGACTGTACTCCATCAGTTAATATTTTACTTGATCACTTGATTCAGATAGCAACTTTGCCAGTGCTGGGGTCTTGTTTGCAGTTCCTGCCCCAAGACCAAATAAAGGAGGGTTGCATCAATTTGGCTGCTATATAACCTTTTTGCTAAACCTATCTAACGAGAAGACATACTTGATACAGGGTGAAGCCTGATGGAATTTTGCTAACGAAAGCAAGAAAATAGTTCTCTCAGGAGACAAATTGTTGTACCTGGGGGTATATACCCAACTGTGCCTCGAAGAAAAGCGGTTGTGGTGGTAGTATCTTTATTGAGGTTGTCTGATGAAATGAGCTTTGCAATCCCAAAATCTGCTACATAGGCTACCATATCACTGTCCAGTAGCACATTTTGTGGTTTCAGGTCACAATGAATAACTCGAACCGAACACCCATAATGTAGGTACTCCAAGCCATGTGCTACATCAATTGCTATTCTCATTCGCTCTCTCATTGTCAATCTACATTCCTGTCCCCTTACTGCACCATCTGGATAGAGATGCTGCCCCAAGTTCCCATTGCCTATAAATTGGAATATGAGAGCCCTGAAATCTGCATTCCAGATTGCTCCAACCATTCTGACTAGATTGCGGTGCTTGATTTTAGACAATATCCGAAACTCCCTTTCGAAGTTCTTGCTGCTCTTATTGGAATCCTGATTCAGAACCTTAACTGCCAACAAAGTCTTTCCACTATTGATACTAGCCTTATACACTGATCCAAAGCTTCCCCTTCCAACTAGATTAGCCTCATGGAAATCACCTGTCGCAATTTCTATCTCCCTCTGGGTTAAATATTGTCCTCCAAGCATGCGAGGGAAAGCCAAAAAAGCTGGTTTCACTGACCTGATATTTTCTTTTTTGTATAAGAATTGGCGAACACAAACAATAACCAATGCACATATCAAGAGTGCAAAAATTATTGAACTTGCAACCAAAAAATAAGCCCACTTCTCTATCTTATGCTTCTTTTTCTTATCCTGCAATATGCATGGAGGGAGATCCATTGATGCGGAGCCACCACACAGACCCGAATTCCCCATGAGTGAACTTCTTCCCATATTTTTGAAACTCCCATTGTTTGGAACATATCCTGTTAATCTGTTATATGATAAATTGAGATTCTTGAGCATCTTGTTCTTGCCAATCCAGATTGGAACTTTACCAGATAACCCATTAAAAGACAGGTCAATAATTTCTAAATTCCTAATCTGTTCTAAGGACTCTGGTATTGAGCCTACAAGCATGTTGTTAGAGAGATTTAGATACGCCAAAGAAATGCAGCTCCCAATTGAACTAGGTATTGGACCAGAAAATTGATTTTCTGACATGTCAATTGCCTGGACAGTTTCCAGATCAATGCTTGCAGGTAATTCTCCTTCAAGATGATTATTTGAAAGATTGAGCATAAGAGCCAAGTTAGGTAAGTGACCTATTTCTATAGGAAGGGGCCCTTGTAGTTTGTTAAAAGATAAATCAAGCAGCATAAGACTACAGCGTGTAAGTTCCATGGGAATGTTTCCTGATAGGTTGTTATGAGACAAGTAAAGATACCTCAACTGAGAGAGGTTACCGAGTGAAGATGGGATTGGCCCTGTAATTGAATTATTGCTAAGGTCCAGTAGGCCAAGGTTAGTCATCTGCCCCATACTGTCTGGGATATGTCCTTGTAACTTGTTTCGCCCTATATACAATCTCTGCAATTGCCCAAGCCTCCCTATTGTTGCAGGAATGCTACCATTCAAGTAATTATACCATAGGGTTAGGTGCACAAGGCCACTTAGATTTCCAATGCTGGATGGAATTTCTCCAGTTATTTTGTTATTGAGGAGGTTGAAGTAATATAGATCTTTGGAAAGAGCACCAACAGAGTCTGGCAGGTTCCCTGTGAACAAGCAGGAACCTAAGTGAAGTTTCTGAAGGAGTGAGCAATTGGTAAGAGCGGTAAGAATCCGGAGGGAAGAATTATCAGAGCCACTAACAAGGTCATTGCTATGGAGGTAAAGGATTTGAAGCTTCCCTAATTTCCCCAGCTCCAGAGGAACCTTCCCTTCTAGCTTGTTGAGGCTAAGGTCAAGCAGTGTCAGCCGAGAAAGATTAGATAAGCTTACTGGGATCTGACCTGAAAGCTGGTTCTCCAGAAAATACAGCCTCTGTAGGTTGTGGAGTCTGTTACCCAATTCTGAGGGAATTTCTCCGGTCAGGGTATTCTCACTCAGTGTAATTTCACGCAGAGCAGAACAATTCGCGAGAGCCGCTGGTATCCTTCCTGTGAAGTAGTTGGTGTGGAAGTACATGATCTCCAGCTTTGGAAGTGCTCCAAGCGCTGGTGGGATCTTTCCACTGAAGTAGTTGACAGCCAATTCCAAGTCTGTCAATTCTGTTAAGTTTGATAGAGATTCTGGTATGTTACCAGTGAGGTGGTTGACAGAGAGCGCCAAGTATGTCAAGTTCTTTAGTTGACCCAGTTCATCAGGAATGCTCCCAGAGAGATTATTGTAAGTCAAGTCTACCATTTTGAGACTGTGACAACCTTGGAGTGTGGCAGGAATTCGGCCCTGAAGATTGTTGCCACTCATATTCATGCGGGCTAAATTAGATAGGTTACCCAACACTGTTGGAATTTCTCCATAAAATCTGTTGTCTTGCAAGCTGAGGACTGTGAGCAGAGAAAGGTTGGCTAGAGAAGGTGAGATAGTTCCCTGCAACCCCATGTTTACTAGCTCAAGAGCAACTATCCGGTTTTTGAGCTGTGGGTGGCACCGAATTCCAGTCCAGTTGCAGAAAGAAGTGCCCTCATTCCAACCTCGCAGATGACCATCTGGGTCGTCTGTTACGCTGTTTTTGAATTGGAGAAGGGACAGGCAATCGGAGGAATTGTCACAGAGAGATGAAGCCAATGGAAGAGCGACGAGAGCAAGAAAGAGGAATACCATACTTTCGGTTCTCTCCCTCTCTCTCTCTGAAAATTTATTGTGTGAAGGTTTGAATTTAATAGCGAAGTGTGATAATATAGTGGGATAACAAAGAAAAATGACTCCTGCCATGTCACAAAAGAAAAGCATGGCAGGAGTCAGTTGCCACGTCAAACTCCAAGCACCATGAAACTCATTGGCACCTTCTTGAAAGCCACGTCAGCTGCCAGTTTTTTTATTATTTATTTTTTTTTTTGGGATTAATCCCTACTCCTTCCAATCCCCTCAACAAATATTCACAATTTAGGCTGCGTTTGTTGGCAGTGCTTACMAACAAATACAAATACATTGGTTCATGAAAACAGAAATTGATTCAGGGTTGTGTTGAAACAGATTCAACGTTGAGTGCCATCATTTTGGGGAGATGTTAACTCATGTTGATGGGGAGATGTTAACTCATGTTGAAATACAAACTCAAGACCGGAACCCACCTTTTTTTTAACTTTGAGTGCCATCATTTTGAATGCAAACATTTTTTGGAAGTTAGGATGGCTGTCATTTTGTTGACAAAATAGGTTTCGACTATGATTGCCAACAGGTATCATAAAAATAAAAACCAATCAGATGGGTTTTAGGGTTGTAATCGGTCAAAGCCTTTCGGTATGATATCTTTCTGGCATTTTCAAAAAAAAAAAAAAAACAGAAACAAAAGAAAATACAAATATCTTACCCAAATACTTACAAAATTGAACAAAAGGGGAGGGCATATATGTATTGAACTGACATTTGCACGAGTTCAAATCAAGCCCCCACAAAATTGCCCCCCACAACGTCTCATGTATCGGAAATATCTCCTGATGATGCCATCAACATTTTTGAGATTATCATCGGGAAATATATCCAATACATGGCAGAGATATGCTATGGAACATTTGTGAGGGACAATCTTGTGAGGAGCTGATTTGATCTCCATTTGYACGACAAACAAACTCAGCCTTATTATGGAGGAAGCAGTCTAATTAACAGTTAACTGTGGTTGGGCTACCCGGATGGGATACTGTAATGAACTTTATTATTCCTATTACTAACTAATATAGTTCTTTTATCTTAAAAATAATATAACAATTAACTGTGGAATAGGGATAACAATGTTACGTCTGGAACTGGAAGGTGCAAGACCTGTTGAGACAGCTTTTACAACCTTTCATTGGGGATATGTCCGTACACTGTATTTATGTGCTTTATTTCAGGAGGAGATATTTCCAATGCAAGGCTACAAGACCGTTTGAATGGAACTTACACCAATCGAATCTGATTTTGTCGGAACAGAGCGAAAGTCAATTCACTCATTACCTTGAACTATTTATTAGACGAGCTGTTAGGGCAAGTTTGTGGGCAGCTGGTGAGTGGTGACTGGTGGCTGTTATAATTGTCTAAAACTCACCAAAGGTTTCTAGCATTTTTCTTAAACTCACCACAACTTTTGAAAATGTCTAAAATTCACCATGTCACTAATTTGACTGTTAAAAAGACTAATGGGTGTTAATATATTACTATTTTAACTATTATAGAAAAATATAAAATATATACAAAATAAATTAACTAGTGTTAATATATTACCATTTTAATATTTAGACATGAAAAAAAGGGAAAAGTTCAAAAAATATTTTCAGATAAAAATACATAAAAACATAGAAATTACAAAAATATAAAAAATTATTTTCAAATTATAGAAACTATAGAAATTGAAAAACAAAATCAGAAAATAAAAATTGTAGAAAATCACCAAAATTATAGAAAAACACAGAAATTACAAATAAATAACAAAAAATATAGGAAAATTTATAGATTGTAGAAAATAGAAAATGTAAAAAACAGAAATTATAAAAAACATTGGAAATTATAACAAAACACTAAAAATGCAAAATAAAACAAGAAAATTGAAAACTAAAAATACCATTTTTCCTCTAACTCGCCATTCAAGGGTAATTTGGTCATGAAAATTGTTATTTATGCTGACATGAACACCACTGTTAAGAAGTATTAACGGTGCACTAATGGAAGGTGAGTTTTGGAAAATAAAAACTTGTTAACATGGTGAGTTTTAGACATTTTGAAAAGTTGTGGTGAGTTTAAGGGAAATGTTGAAAACTCATGGTGAATTTTAGACAATTCCCCTTATTTGTTTAATGGCCCCGGGCCCATTCCTTTGGTGGCTGTGGGGCCAATAATAATGCTCCATGTCTGCAATAAATGAAAATTGAGGGGTCTGATAACAGTGCTGAATTGAATAGTTTATTGCTTATCTTTTTAATCAAGGTTCAAAGTATCGACACGTATCGGCCGATACGTATCGTTTCGGGACCCCTTCGATACACCCCTACAGTGGGTGTATTGGGGGTCTGACTAGTTCAGGGGGTGGAGGAGCCCTAAACCGGCCCCCCTAAACCAATTTTGAAAAAAAATAAAAAAAAAAGTAAAAAAAGGTATCGATTAGCCCGATACGCCTTTATCGGTGTATCGAGCGTATCGATATTTTGAACCTTACTTTTAATAGATAAAACTATTAAATAGTAAAATATTTAAGGAGCCTAAACGACAAATCATAAGCTATTCAGTTAAACTATTTCAACTGTTATCAACAAGTTTCAAAGTATTGACACGTATCGTTCCGAGACCCATCCGATATGCCCCTACAGTGGGTGTGGGGAGAGGCCTAAACCAGTTGCGAAAAGAAAAATGACCAAAATCTGTATCGATTCGCGTATCGATATATTTTGAATCTTGGTTATCAAACGGCCTCCAATGGTTGGTGTAAAAAAAAAAAAAAAAGCCCCCAATGGTCGTGGGCCATATACACTTTATGACTGGATAGGGGCATTTTTTATTGGTCCCACAGCCCATAACACAACACAACCACCAGATTCAGCTAATCCTTTCTCCTATTAATGCTGTTCAACTACCTGAATATGAAAATTTGAAAACGAGACGGGTGCGAGTAGCATAAGTTGCAAAGTCATATGCACTTTATGGTTGCCATGAGGTGTTAATGATTGGCCCAATAAGCCCGGATCTCTTTTAAGCAAAATCTCTGATCACATATTAAGAATATCTTTTAAATTCATGGAGAGATGTTTCTAATATACCGCTAAATTTGCATGACTTCACAGTTTTTGCTTGCAAGAAATCACGTCATTAGCCCAACAGCCCATGATGCAGCCATTAAGTCCAGCTGAGCCATTCTTGCTGGTGATTATGATGGTTTGTGTACCTGCATGCTTGTGTAAAGAAGATATTTGAGGATGGAGAATTATATGATGCCCGAAAGATATGATCCCATAAAGCCATTCTTCCTTATTTTAAGGACTTGAGTTTTTAACTTAAAAAAGGAGATAAGTCATGTTCAAATGTCCAAATGCGCTTATAAGCATTTATTCAAAAAAAACTTGTTTAAAAGCCAATTAGAAAGGAAAATCACTTTCTGATGCAACCTAAGATATTCTATAAGAGTCTCGAATACTTAAGGTTGACCACCATGAGATTGAGATAAATGGTGGATAGGGCCTGGGGGCCCATGAATACGCTTGTTCTTAATCTCCAATATGAGTTTCGAGCAGTGTGAAATTTGAGGCCTCACAAAGAGTTGTCAAAATACTTATCAAGTGCTCATTTAATATTTATGTTGTGTTAGATTTGGTACCATTTTGGCTATGTTTCTTTTCTAAATCAACCTAACTTTCAGGGTGAAGGGGTTGAATTCGCATTTTCTTCGACTGCTATCAAAACTAATGACATCTGAATTTCACCAATGAATGTGAAATTGATTGAAACACACCACGGACACTGGATTCCTTAAAACACAGTCCAAGTTGTAAGGAACCTCAAGAACATTTCATGTACGAGGTGATATTTTAAGATCAAGGTAACATCTTATCATCCGAAATCTCTAATAATTTTCCATTTTTACTTAATTGCAAATTTTAGCAGCAAAAAAAACATTAATCTCTATAATAACTTTTTTAGTACAACATTAATTTGCATGTAGTGAACAAAACATGCATAATCAATTAAAAGTACAATACATATCGTAGCGTGATGATCGCCTCTTTGAGAAAATGATTGTTAATTACCAGCTCAAGTTTACCATTCAAATTTATCACATTCAAACGTTTCTTTCACCCGAGCCTGAATCTCCTGCAAGCAAAATCTATTTCACATCACTTTTAGCCGTACATTAAGAATATCTTCCATTCCATACATGCATGCTTAATTTACGAGAAATGTTTCCAATGACCGCCCGAAATTTCTATACTTTTACAGTGTGTGCAGAATTTTCACTTAAAACGTATAGTATCACAGGTTTTATAAATAATTGAGAAAACTGCACTGCATGGGTGAACGCCCTAAATGCAAGGTTTTTAAAATCGAACTTTTCAGGGGTCCGGTTCTCGGGTCGAACGATCTAACTGTTTGAACCGAATGGATGACCCATTCTGATAAAAAAAATAAAAAAAGGCCAAAAATCAATAGACGATTCGATCGCTTGGATCAACGGTTTGCTGACCAAATCAACGGTTTTACCCAAAATGACGGTTCTGAGGTAAAACAGTGACTGGTTCCCGGTTTTTTCGGTCCGGTTTTGAAATTCATGCCCAAATGTATAGACAATGAGTCATAATATTGTATTTGGTTACAGTGCAAATTTATTTGCCCTTATGCAAAATTATGGTAGTGTGAATGTTTTGGGTGTAAATTTTGATTTATTTTTGTTTCAAATTTTATCTTATTTTGTTTGGTTGCAGTACATATAAAGTAAAATAAGACCTAAAGCAAAACAAAATAAAATCTAAAACAAAATTAAACCAAAATTTTCATTTTTTTTAATTTGCACTCCCATACATTTGTACTAGTACAAACAAATTGCACTATAACCAAACACAGCCTAAAGTTCTAACCCTGTAGCAAAGACTTGGGATCAAATCCCATTACCACCAGGTTGGGATGTTGTGGGTATGGGAGATAGGTTACCCCTATTGTGTAGTTAGGGATGGCTATTTTCCCCATCCCCAACGGAGACCCTGCTTCCCTGACCCAATGGGGTTGGGGATGGGGATTGTTTTGGCGGGGCGGGGACAACAACGGGGATTAATAGGAATCCCCGATCGGGGTCAGGATCGAAGATGGGGATTAAGTAAATTTATTTTAAAAAAATTCAGAAATTCGGGTCCTCATGGGGAACCCATCCCTATCGGGGATCGGGGACGGAGACCCAAACCCACCCTCTTGCGTAGTCCCATGAATTCAAATAAATAAATAAATGAAATAAAAATAATATTGGGATTTTTAGACTGCACTCAACCTCAGAATTCTTATATTTTCAGGAAATAAGAGAAAAGATGAAAACTATTGAATACTTGAACTGATTGAATAAAATAAAAAATAAAAAACAGGGAGAAATTACATTGCATCATCGAATGCAAGGCAGCAACAAATCCACCACCAATGAAAATTCAACTAACTTGACTTGAAAAAACGAAAATTCAACTATGAAAGAAAAACAAAAAAGAAAGAAAAATCAGGGTCATAAACATTGAACAATCCTACTAAAAGGAACCAACTAGAGTCTCTCTCTTGTCTTCATTTTTTCACAGTCACAGAGCGTCCTCTTATCTCTCTAGATTTGGTTTCTTAAGAGAAAACAAAGGTGGCAAGGAACTTATCTTTGATTGAGTGCAAATGGGTACATGGACAACAGGCCTTATTCTAACACTAGCTGACCTTGTCCTYTCCAACCCTTTCTTCATCCTCTTACTATGCTTCTCTCTGCTCCCTACTCCTCTGTCTTCCATTGGATCCTTATTCCCTTCATCCATGGCACACACATCTGACGACGCTGATGATGCTGACGACGACGACGATGCAGACGGCGACAATGTGGTTGCCCGTTGCTTCTTCAACCTCAGAAGTTCCTTCCACAGAACAGTGCACTTGGGGGGCCGAGGAGATGGGTCATCATCAACAAACCAGCTGACCCCACTCTCTTCCTTGCTTACCTCCTTCCCCTTCTCCTCTTTCTCTGCATCCTTTGTTTTGAGAGAGATCTTGTTTAGTTTCTCCGAATGCTGCATTTCCCAGAAGGGAAGGAGCCTGCCTTCAAAGAAGAGCTCGTCGGCCGTTAACATCCTATCACCGGTGGAATTGCTAGAAAGAAACTCGAAATCTACATTGCGCACCGGCCCCTTTTCCCGTTTTGTGTCAAACTTGTTTGGCGACTCAGAGCGCGGGCTTATGGAGATGAAATCATTGTCGTCGACGAAGTCGACGGAGAAAGAGATCCGCGGGCTCGATGTCGGCTCCATGGATCTAGAGCTTAACTGCGGACTCTCTGGGGAGGCCATTGATGCTTGTGCTCTGTAGTTTTTATGAGTGAGTTTAATAAGGGGAAGATGGACAGATGGCGCTTCTAATTTAAAATCATCGCTTTCAGTCGGTAAATGTTAGGAAGGTGTGATTTATGGTTTTAAAAACCAACCGCCTGGCCATCAGTTACGGATCAAAAAATCCGATCATTCAATCTGAACCCCGGTTATGGATTCAGAGTGATGACTGATGACCGATTCCCAAGTCAAACGGTCCGATAGTCCAGTCCGATCCAGTCTGATTTTCAGAGCAGGTGTGGTTCAAGATTCAAAAAATCGAAACGTATTGGGATGTATCAGCCCATACATATCGTATGGGTGGCCCTCCAATATGCCCCTACAGTTAGACCTGGCAATTGGGTTGGGTGGGTTGGGTCAAGACCCTTTGGGTTGGATTTTGGGTTGAGTTGTTAAATATTAGACCTTAACCCTAAATGTTCGGATTAGGGTTGACCCATGAGTCAATTTGGATCATCCAAAAAACTAAAATTTAAAAAAGAATAAAGAAAAACTACATGAAAAATGCCAAAATTAAAAGAATTAAACTTAAAATTCTAAATATAAAATAAAAAAGCTTGAACATTTAAGAATTTAAAGAGTAMAAACTAAATAGAAAAAAATAAAAAAATGGAAACTTCTAACAATGCAAAAATAGTCCCAATTAAACTTGACAATTGGGTCAGCGGATTGACCCATGACCCAACCCAACCCAGTTTTTTCCGGGTTGGGTCAGGTCAGGTCATTCTCACATTCAAGTAGCTAAATATGAAACCTTAACCCTGTTTTTTTGGGTTGAGTTGGGTTAGATTAACGAGTTGGGTCAACTTTTTGCCAGGTCTACCTATAGTGGGTGTTTTGAGGTCTGACCTGATTCAGGGGTAAATGGGTCTTAAACTGATCCCCTAAACCAATTTGAAAAAATTGCAGGCCAATACACCCAACCTTGGTGTGAGGTCTGACCTAGTTCAGGGGTAAATGGGTCTTAAACCAACCCCTTAAACCAATTTGAAAAAATCGATACAGGCCAATACACCCAACCATGGTGTGATAAGTAAACCAAGTGAGTTGGTCTGGTGAATGTGAAACATGCTAAGACTCTATAGAATACATGAACAGCACATGGTGCCCAAGTGAAGTAAAACACAGAAGGATTCAATTTCTCTAATTTTGCATGTAAATGGGAAGCAATATAACAAATTGTTTTATGAGCTCCAAGTTACTAGAAAGGTTTTGACAGTAGATGATTTCTTTATTTAGCTTTATGAGCATGGATATTTAATATGGAATGGTCAAAGGGATAAGGCCTGACTCCTTGCTTACAAGATTAAAACATGGGATGGTCCCGGAGCATGTGATCACATGGAGAAATTTTCTTGGCATGTGATGGCTCACTCCCCAACTATATCAAAGAAACCAGGTATATATATGCTAGTGGACCAAAATGTCATCTGAATATTTGATTTGCATGTCCTAACATTTGGGGATATAAGTGGGTCGGGTTAAGTGGTGGACCCTCACTGACCCGATCGATTGACTTTTGGGTTAAGCGAACCGTGTTGAACCTGACCCGTTGATATTGCAAAATTGAATTCGTTATATATAAATATAATTGATTGATTGAATGTAAGTGCAGGGCTGCAAATGGTATCCTATTGTCTGAAATATAAGTTCTAATTCGATCCCATTAAGGGTGTTTTAAATTCGATCCATATATTTGGATCCCCCAATTGATATATATATATATAGTAAAATTGGTTTTAATGTTGTGCTTTTACTGAATTATGTGTAGTTTTATATGAGTATTTTTCTATTCTGTTTATCATGAAATATAAATCAAAGTCATCTTTTGGTCATTTTATTAGTAATACATAATATTTTGATGATTTTAGTTTAATTTGTTATGCTATTTAATATTTAACTAGAACCTGAATTTGATTTGAACCCAATATAAATCCGGAGAATAAGATCCAATTCAAATTCGATTATAAATGAATCAAATCTGGATCTAATTATATCTGATTCGGTTCGATCCATTTGTAGCCCGAACTATATATGGGATGGATCGGGTCAATTTGATATTCCTGATATTTTTTTTAGCCAGGCGGATTGGATTCAGGTTGAAGTTGCATTGAGTGGGGTTCGGGTTAGATGAAACCTGACCCGTTGAACAGGGTAGTTTTGTCCAAGGAAGGAAGGCTACAAATGGTATATAATCATGTTCATTTGTTGAAGACCTCCATTATTAGTTAGATTTTGGCAGCTCTAAACATACAGCTAATAAGCATAGGAGGGCATCTTTAGGGTATTATAGAAATGAATCTGAAAGTCTCTAGAAGCACGTTGTAGGACGGATGATGGCAATGCAGAGACAAGAAACCGATCTCCTTTGTTATAGAACAACCGGACACCTTATAATTATAGATCTCAGTTGTGGGCAGAGATCTGCTACCAACACAATGCTCCCAACAATGTCTCTATATGCCACTGCAATCATACATAGGGAACATCTCCTTTGTCATACATGGGGAGATGTTTACTGTAAACGCAAGTTGGGAACGTCTGTTGGTAGCATATCTAAACTCCTCAATCGTCAATTTTGGATATATTGTCCAGAGAAGCCCATGGGCTGGCCTTTCCAATAGGACAGTCCCTATCACCAGATTGTGCAAATTTTATACCAAGTTGAGTTTTGGACATTGATACTGGAACATTGGGTCCTCTGTTCCATCGGTCTGGACCTTTGCTTTGTGTTTTGACTTAGATATGACTTTTGCCTCTTGCCCATTAATGAAGGCCAAACTAATTGAGCTGACGGAATCTAGCAGAGGGGATTCATGCCGGTATGATACTGTAGATCAACCTAATTGATGATTAACTATTTTTTATATTTACAATTTTTTCGTGCTGATCGTTTTTTCAGAGAGGATTCATGCCTTGTTGATTACTTAGATATGACATATGTGATGGATGCAATGTCTACTTGGGACTTGGATACGCTTTTGGATCATGAGGTCTCCAAGAGTGGGGGGATTCGATATTGATGATTCCCAGTTCCCATTGCTCCCCAAAACCCAACCTCTAAAGCCCTCAAGCTTTTAGGTATGTAGGCCATGATTCTGGGGTAATGGGTATGATACTCAGAACTCAAGTAATCAAGTTAGATTTCCGTGGAAAGAAAAAACTTTTGCTCTTTTTAGAAAGGAGGGAAGGAGTTGTCCTTTCACTACATGTTTTGAAATGAGTTTATCTACACATGACCAAGCAGAACATCGGCCTAAAAAACATTGAAGCATTGTTACAATTCCGTTTACATGTTCATCACTAGGAAGCTCAGCTTCTGTCAGGGCAAAGCCCATTAGAGCAGCCTTTACAGCCTTCCATTAAGAATAGGGAGAGCCTTCCATTAAGAATATCTCCCTGGGAAGATATTCCCAATTCAAGATTGCAAATGGCGGTTAGAACGGTGTGGGCATGGGATTGCCCTGAGGGAAGCCCATCTCATCACTAGGGTGGTCATATAGAAGCTTGCATCTTTTATTGGAGTGAAAATTTCCTTTTATCTTAATACGGGATGACGTACATCCACCATGAAAAGAGAAAAGAAGGGGGATGTGGAAAGAGATAAAGGCTTGACACTTGGTCTCATTACCTGTGGAGTGTGGACCCTGAGAAGTTAGGGGAAGGGCATCTTTCAGGTAGCGCTGTCAATTTGGTCCAATACGTGTTCATTGCAGATGAACCACTGGATCAGGCCCAATCTCATTTGATGAATACTCTGGATCAGTTTGGTTCCAACCCAAACCTGGTCCATTGACATCTGTATTCTTATCTTCTATCAATGAACTGGATATTGGTTCAATCAATCAGTCCAACCCAATTCAATAAAAATCCATTATGGATAGATCAGGTCCAATCAAATCCAATAAATACTTTGGAACATTAAAATATGTCTTATTGGTCTGTTCGATTCATCCAAATTGATTTTGATATGGATGGGGCCCAACCCAAAATCGGTTCATTGACACCCCTACTTTTAAGGTAGTCCTTGAGATGGAGCAGCTCTTTCTACCAGGTGGTCCACTGTAGTGAGAATGGGCTCTAGTGTTCTTTGTTTCTTTTAAATAGTATTTAAAAGTTATGTTTCTTAGTTGTGGACCTTCTTTTATTTTCTTTAATTATTTCTTTAGTGTTGGCTGCCACTTGTACTCAGACTTAAAATTATTAATAGAAGTGATGAATGAGAGCTAGAGAGAGTGGTTCGAATTCTTCTTTTCTCTCTTCCCTTGTTTTCTTCTTCCACAACCTATTTCTGAAACTTCTTTCTTCTTCTTTCTCTTTCCCTCTTTTCTTCTTTTCTTGCATTATCTGAATTACTGTAGGTGTAATTTTCAACTTCCACATTGCAAATCCATTATTCATCAAGGATTTAGTGAATTGACAAACCTGTATGAATTCACAAAACCAGTCATATGGAACCTGCCAGATAAGACCCACATCCACAGACCTGATTGTCATGGGGCTTCTGGTGATCATCGTTGTAAGGTGTTGAAGCTTTTGTCAGCATGAACGAGATACCATTGCCAACTGCCTTGCTAACTTGCCTGTCTACTCTACTCAGTTTCAATCTCATCTTGTTGAAGAATTTGATAGACAGATATTCGTTCATCTATCATTAGATAATGAACCAACAATCCTTACAATGGTTTCAACCATAAAAAACAATAAGGAATTTGGAAATGAAAGGAAGAAGAAACCCAATAACACCGATGGTTACAACATGAAGGTGTTTTCTAACTAAAAGGTTTCAACCATACAAACAATAAGGAATTTAGAAATGGAGGGAAGAAGACTATTGATCAAGTATCTAAAGATGACAATAACCCAATAACACCGATGGTTACAACATGAAGGTATTTTCTAACTAAAACAGTTGAATGATAGCTAATATATTATAAATCATCTCCATTCACATACAAGAACAGAGGAGTTTGACCTAAACATATTAGATGCTAATAGCTGAAAATTATGGGAAGCTCATCAAGGTTGACAACAATACAACCATTTAGGGTTCATCTACCATTGTGTTGTGTTGCATTTTGGATTGTTTTTTCTATCTTGAAATGTTTTGAGTTGATCAATACAAATTGTTATTTCTACCTAAAATGTCAAATTTGAGTTTCAATCATAAATTGCAATGCTTAATCAAAGACATGCATTTTTCTAACTGAAGTGACACTCAATATATGATGTGACAGCACATTTCTCACAAATTTGTATTGATCAACCCAAAATGCAATGCAACGCCACTGTACCAAACAGCCTCTAAATTATTATGTTGTATGCTTGTAATCTTTCTTGCTACTCATTCCCCCCTCCCGCAGGTGCAAATTGCTGTTAAGATTTCATTTTCTTATTTTGGTATTAAAATTCAAGGAAAGTTCAAATCAGCTTATCGTATAAATTGCACCCATGCAAACAATACCTAGATTCAACATTGAGAAACTCCTTTGCCATCTTGGTCCAAATCATAAAGCACAAACTTCTTATCAGGAACATATCCTTCATCTCTCATGAGTCCAATCAATTCCTCCAGAACCTCATAGATGGTCTCAGCTTGTGGATGGAGCCTATCCTCGACAACAAAGCTGTGTATTTCCTTTTCAATCTCAATCCAACTCATCCCTGTCTCTTTCTTTACTCTCATTTCCTTCATTTTCTTGATAACCCTAGCTCTCTCTTCCCATCTTCCTTCAGAGGAATATATATTTGCCATCAATACATATGCACTGGGGCTCTCAGGTGCCACTGAAAGCAAGTGATCTGCCGCATATTTCCCCATTTTTGAATCCCCATAAATACTACAGGCACCCAGGAAGGCTTGCCAGACTAGAACACCAGGCTCCATTGGCAATCCCTCAATGAAGGCCTTGGCTTCATTTAAACATCCTGCCCGACCCAACAAGTCAACCACACACGCATAATGTTCCATTCTTGGACTAATTTCATGAAGATTAACCATGGCCTCCAAGAATTCCATTCCCTTCTCAACTGATCCAATATGGCTACAAGCATGAAGCAATGAAAGAAATGTCACATCTGTTGGTTCCACACCTTCTAACCTCATATTTTCATACAACTGAAGTGCTTCAACACCACGACCATGGCGTGCAAACGCTGCAATCATGGAGTTCCATGAAACTGAACTTCTCTGAACCATCCCATCAAATACTTTTATAGATTCTGCCAGATCCCCACACTTTGAGTACATGTTGATGATCCCATTGCTTACAAAAGGATTAAACCCTAAATTTCTCTTGATTACTAAGGAATGAATTTGCTTCCCTAAAGCCAATGATGTAACAACACCAAACACCCCTAAGACAGCCGAAATCATGTTTGGATCAATCTCAATTCTTGCCCTCATTATCTTCACAAAAAGTCGGAGAGCGTCTTCCTCCAACCCATTTTGAGCAAACCCCCCAAGAATCACGGTAATGGAAACCTCATCGAGCACCTCAGCATCCTCAAAAATCCGGCAGGCATCTTCCATGCTATTACACTTGCAATACATATCCATTAGAGAACTCTCGATGCACAAATCTGAGTGAACTCCCGACTTCAGGACAAGGGCATGGATTTGACGTCCTTCTTTTAGTGCCTGTAAACCAGCACATGCCATGACTGAGCTCGAGTATGTCAAAGAATTCGGATCCACCTCCCCATGCCGCATCTTCAAGAACAAAGTGAAACTCTCCTCGTAAAACTCTCTCTGAGCAAGACCTGAGATCACAGCCGTCCAAGTGATAACATTCCTTTCAGACATCTCATCAAAAACACGTCTTCCTGAAGTGTAACATCCACACTTAAAGTAAGAAGTTATCAAAGCATTTCCCACTGAAACCTCACGCTTATATCCATTTAGGAACACCAGAGAATGTACCATCTTGCTCACACAAAGAAGATCAGGCTTATCACAAGCAGATAAAATGGTAGTCAAAGTTGCTCGATCTAATTGAAAAGTACCCGAGCCATGCATCTTTTTAAATAACCCAAATCCCATATCAAGTTCTTGACCTCTTAGAAGACCAGAAATCAGTGAATTCCACGAAACAGTATCTTTAACAGGCATTTGATCAAACACTTTAGCCGCATATGATAATTCTCCACATCTTGAGTACATTGAAACAAGAGAATTCCAAACAACAAGGATATTCCGGATATTAGTTTGGTTCTTTAGATTGAAAGACTCAAAATTCTTCATGATGACGGCATGAATGCAAGACCCAAGTCGAAAATCCCCTTCCTTGCCACAAAGAGAAAGGAGGGAGCTTAAATTTACGGGGTTGAGGGAAAAGCCGACGTTTATCGTGTCCAGGGAAGCAACTTCTGAAGTCTGATTTCTGCTTCTCATGACAGAATGTATGGCAGAGAAGGRAAGGTCGGACTTGAATCTGCAGATCGCCCATCTCGCTTTCATCCATGAAACGCAGCCCGACTGTTAAAAGGAGGTAAGTGTCCAACAAATCAATGATTATGTGTCTGTTAAGATACTGCCCGAGCTCAGATCCTTAGCCCGTAGAGTATCAAAGAAGACGCAACAAGCAAAGTCATTATAGAGYTGTTTGATATAAAATGCCCTCAAGAATTTAGGTCCAGCAGCTCCAAGACGTCATCAGTAGAGGGGCTGAGTGGTCAGAGACTCAGAGTTACGAAGCGTAGAGCAAAGAGCATCTCTTCACTCTACAAATTCATAAAGTCTTCCCAAACGGCACTTAAACCGAGTTCGCATCAGTATATAGCCAATAGACCTATTCATGGGCCGCGCCGGGCCGGGCTTTGCCTCTACATTAACGGAATATGCTCAGCCTTGGGCCCAAGCCCGACCCGACCATCACGACTAGTTCTTGAGCCCGAATCCCAGGCCCAAACTTGAGCCCGGCTAGAAATTTGGAAAAAAATATTTTTTTCCTTTTTAATTCAATTAAAAGCTGTTTTGTTTATATTAAAAGACCTCGAAACCTTTAAAAAAAGTAAAATCTCATTATTACTTGAAAAAAGAGAAGAAAAATATATTATATATGTTTTTTTATTATATAAACTATATTTTATTAATATACTACACTATCAAGTCCAACTCGAGCTCAGACCACTCTTTTTTGAGAATGCCCAAGCCTAGCCCATAAAAAGTCGGGCCCGATATTTTAGGCCTGAGCTCGAGCCCGTGGTCCTGAAATCTTGTCCAAGCCCGACTTAAATCAGGTCAGGCTGGGCCAACTCGTCAAGCTACCCAACCCATGAACAGGTCTAATAGGCATGTTAGGGGTATATCAACAGGTCTAATAGCCATTCGATTTCGGTTTTTTTGGTTTTTGGGTAATTCAGTTCGGTTAATATAGTTTTTAGCAATTTCGATTCAGTTTTGGTTTTTAGTTTTAGAAATTCGGTTAACCGAAAAAACCAAATTAACTAAAATACATTATATAATATATAATATATAATATATAATATACAATATTTAATATATAATGTATATATATTATATAATGTAATTAAATTTATATATTAATATAATATATATATATATATTATAGGTTATATATATATTTATATATTAATATATTATATATAATGTATTATAATGAAATTATATTTCATAATATATATATATATTATAGGTTATAATATAATATTATATATATTAATTAAATTTGATTTTTAACTGAAATAACCGAAAAGCGAACCAAAAATTTTGGTTCAGTTATTTCGGTTTTATTGTAATTTGGTTTCGATTTCGGTTTTGGTTTTCATTTTTTTATTTATGTTTTAAAAAATTTGGTTTATCCGATTCAATTTTTAACTGAATAAATCGAATTCTCACCCCTACTAAAAACGCCATCGGCTAAGCGAATTTAAATCAGCGGTGGTCATTTCTAACCCGACTTGGCCTAGGTCCATTAACGCTTTAGCTAGGGGTGTCAACGGTATTTGAAAATCTGATTTAGAATTCGAGATTCAACATAATCGAATCGAATTCAGATAATTCGAGTATCTAATTGGTTGAATTCATATATCCTATTCATACCGAATAGCTAATCGGATTTGAATTCGGATATGACCTGATTTGATTCGATAAATATCCGAATTTGACCAATTATTTAATTCTTATATATAAAATATAATTTTTTTAAATGTTTTATGTAATTTATATATATATATATATATAATAATTAGATTATATAAATATTTTATATATTTATATACTTTATATAAATAAAATATTTATTTTATATATTTATTAATTACCTAAAATAATCAATTAGTCGAATTCAAATCAAATCGAATATTTGAATATTTAATCAAATTCGAATTCGGATATTGCCTGATCTGATTTGAATTTGATCCGTTTACACCCCTAGCTCATTTTATATATATATATATAATACAAAATATACTATATACTTTATATATAGTATATTCGGATATTGCCTGATCTGATTTTAAAATTTTCAGTTTTCATTTTTTTTATTTCAGTTTATTCGGTTCGATTTTTAACCGAATAAATTGAATTCTCACCCCTACTGAAAATGCCATCGGTTGAGTTAATTTAATTAGTGGTGATCTTTTCTAACCTGGCTTGGCCTCGGTCCATTTAACTTTCAACTAAGGGTGTCAATGGTATTCAAAAATCTGATTTTGAATTCAATATTCGATATAATCGAATCGAATTTGGATAATTCGAATATCTAACCGGTTGAATTCGGATATCCTATTCTTACTGAATAGTTAATCAGATTCAAATTCAGATATGACCTAATTCGATTCGATAAATATCCGAATTTGACCGATTATTTAATTCTTATATATAACATACAAAATATTTTATATAATTTATATACAATAATTAAATTATATAAATAATTTATATATTTATATACTTTATATCAATAAAATATTTATTTTATATATTTATTAATTATCTAAAATAATTAATCAATTGAATATGAATCCAATCGAATATTCAAATATTTAATCAAATTCTATTTTCGGATATTAATTTTCAATATCCGTTGGATATCGAATCGAATTTGGATATCAGATTTTCTAATCGGATTCGAATCGGATATTGCCTGATCCAATTCGAATTCAATCTGTTTACACCCCTAGCTTCAACTAGGGGTGTCAATAGTATTTGAAAATTTGATTTTGAATTAAAGATTCAACATAATCGAATCAAATTCAAATAATTTAAGTATCTAATCGGTTAAATTCGGATATCATATTCATATCGAATAGCTAATCGGATTTGATGTAGGGTGATTTGGCCCGACTTAGTAATAGGGGGACATGTGGACACGATCTAACTGACAGGATGACAGCTCACTCCGACGCATCAAGTCTACAACGGACCAAGCTCGGATAACCGAACCACCTCGGGACAAGTTCACCTCGGAACACGATCGCATCAGGACCACCTCTGTTCCAGGGCACTTCGGCATTCGTACCAGGTCGGATCCAAAGGGCACTAGCTCGGGTAATATTGACCGACCTCTGCATGACAACCCCGAAGATCTCACCACCAGATTCCATGCTTTACGGGATCACGCCTCGTAACAGCTAGCCTTATCTCCCCCGTTCGATTCAGGCRGCAGTGATAAGCCTTATTGGCTGGCAGCGTTATCTCCTGTTAATGCGGAAACGGGCCTCATCATAGCAAGAATCCCGGAACCACTCCAAAAAACCCGCGAGGACTCCAGTATATAAAAACCCCGACCCTCCAGGGGCAAAGGTACGCGTAATCTCTGCTCACTAGCTCTCTTGTTTTCTAAGCTACCACCAGCTCGCAAGTTATTGACTTAAGCATCGGAACGCCCTCGCCGGGTAAGCACCCCCGGGTTCTCTGATTCCTCTTTGTGCAGATTAGTCAAGTCCGTCGTCTACTGGAAAAAAAGTCATTGCCAAGTAGGAGCAGCCGGATTGCATCGCATCAGGATTCAAATTCGGATATGACCTGATTCGATTCGATAAATATCCGAATTTGACCAATTATATAATTCTTATATATAAAATATAAATTTTTTAAATATTATATAATTTATATACATAATAATTAAATTATATAAATAATTTATATATTTATATACTTTATTTAAATAAAATATTTACTTTATATATTTTTTAATTACCTAAAATAATTAATTAATCGAATTCGAATTGAATATTTGAATATTTAACCAGATTCGAATTCGGATATTGCCTGATCCAATTCAAATTTAATCCGTTTACACCCCTATCTTCAGCCCAACCCAGCTCATAGATACAAATATATACATATGCATATATATGATATTTATATTCAGATATATTTTGTATGTATTTTTTAAGCCAATGTTCATTAACTCAAAATTACATTTCACAAGAGACCTTGCAAAGTATGGTGGAGATATATGATGAAGACTATAGGAAGAGAAATTTGAAGTTAGATGCCTCCAATCAAGAATAGTTGCATATCCCTAAAATAGGTTAAACCCCGAAACAACAAGGATTTTATCTATAAACTAAATTATTATATATTAAGTATAACATAAAACTTGAATTAACGGTACAACTAAGGTTGACAAGAGTTAACATTTTACACTACTTTGGGCCTGGGTTTCATATTGGGCCTATTCAAATTTTGGCAAAAGTTGAATCCGAGACTGCCCAAGTTGCACCCCTAAAATCAAAAAATGAAAAAGGTGCCATATTTTAGAAAGGGACATTAACAGTGGTTTTAAAAAGAGTACATTTTCAGAAAGGTTCTGTTTGTATAAGCTTTTTGCTTTTGAGTTTGTGCAGTGAACAATAACTTTGAAGTTTGAACCAAAGAGTGTATTGAGAATTTTGGTAATAATTGCTTTTCTTAAGCTTACTAGTTACCATGCACATTGCATGCAAAAAGGTGAAAAGACATTTAGACAAATATCTTTTTATTGGACATTTTCAAATGTCTTAATTCATTGCTTGGAATTAAAGAATGATTAAACAACCACTACTCACAAACAATGAAGTTATATGATTAGGGGTGAGCATTGTATTAATTTGGTTAAAAAACAAATCGAATAAATCAAAATTAAAAAATACAAATCGAACCAAAACTGAAATATAAAAAACTCAAAATAACTAAAATCGAAATTTTCGGTTTAGTTTTCAGTTATTCTAATTAAAACTGAATTTCAATAATATATATAATCAAAGTTCATTATGTTATGTATTAATATATATAAATATATTATATATTAAACATTATATGTTATATAATATATATTACTTGTTATATAGTAAAGTTTGATTAATTTGATTTTTTTAATTAACCGAATTTATAATTCTAAAAATCAAAACCACAATTTTTTGTTTGATTTTTCGGTTTTAACTGAATAATGCTTATACATGATGCCATTGAAATATTGTGGTATAATTTATTCATGACACTTTTGGGTTGTAATCTATTTGCTCAAAAAAAAAGAGTCTAAGGGGTTTCTTGCCTTTGAGAGGGCAGTGTAGCACATTTCTCTATCAAAAGAAAAAAAAAAAAAAAGAGAGAGAGAGAGAGAGATAGAGTTTGTATAGCCCATTTATCAATACACAATTGGACAACTGATCCAATTATCCTTAGATTTCAATGTTAGAACATACAGCTTATTAATAATTCTTAGTTTAATGAGTTGCACTTGGAACTCACAAGTAATCCAGAATCACAAACAATGAGAATAACAGTAGCACATGCAGTCCTATCACCATTGGAAGTCAACTTTAGGCTGGTATCTCGGCTTAGGCCCAACCCACAAGTAAAACCCAGTTCAACCTACTCAAAACTAGTGCTCAGTCCTAAGCCATGGTCCGACTAAGTTACAGACCTAAGGCTGACTTTGGAAGCAGCATAAATACTGCTTCCAAACTGAGCCTATGGCTCAATTTAGAAAGAGTACAAGTACAAATATAAATACATACAAAATAGTACAAATACAAAATTTTGCACTTTACATATGTCTGTTGTGTTGCCTTGGCGGTTTCCTCCACATTGCCAGATTATTAGTATTGGTTATATATGTGCAAACAAAAAATTTTAATAGAAAATTGGCGGTTTGGTTTAGTTTGACATTCTTTTATACTTAGTTTGATTTCTTGAATTTTAGAACCAAACCAAACCGTAAATTCTGATGTTAGAATTCCTTGTAATTGCTTTTTCGTTTTTTGTTAGATCAACTAAAAACTCAAAGTTGTTTGGATGGTTAATAGAATTGAGCTTAGGGTCCTAAAAGTATATTGTTCTAACCAAACTTAATGCTTATATAGCATACCGGTTAGGATGATTCATTGGTTTTATGATGACTAAAAGGCCATATTTATTAGGTTAAGTCCAACAGAATGACCCAAACCATAATAAAGCAATTTGGTTTGATTTGATTTTCATACCAAAATGGTTTGATATTCAACGGTCTAATTACCTTCCTAGCATTGTTTCCGTGGACATCATTTGTTTTTCTTTCATTTCACATGCAACCAAAAAAAGTGTATAATTTGAAGAAAGGAGAACAAAAGATTGTTTGTTTTTTTTCTTTTTATATTACTTTCCTTTTTCCTAGTGGAACCAAAGTTCAACCATAGGGAATTTCTTTCCCTAGAGAACTGACAGAACCCATCAGAGTGTATATGAAGTCCATTCACCCAACCAACTTTTTTTTTCACCTTTACACCTCGGGAAGTTTTGAGAATGGATGGTCCAAGTCATTTAGACAGTCCAATGGGCCAAAGAAGAATCTATCTCGTTAGAAAGCAAATTTTGTTCAGAAAAGTGTGATGGTGACAACCCGTGGTGGAATTAGGTGGTCTATGTTTAGTTTGGATTTTCTTTTGGCAAAAAGAAAATACTGTATTAAGATAGGGCCATATTACAACGCCAGTCTGTGGGCTATGTTTAGTTTGGACCAGTCTTGGTTGGTTGCGAAAAGATTATTCCCAAATCAAGAGGGAGAATTTATAGAGCGAAACCTGTAAGTGGGGTTTATACGCTAATAAGGTTGTGTTTGGTATCATTGTTATTTTTATTATAAATTTTATTGGGGTTTATGGATACAATTTCTTGATAAAATAGGAAATCATTTGCATAAAAAATTTCATTTTTGACAAAATTTTGATGTTTCTATTATAAGTGCCAACAACAATCCAATGCATGCATTTTTTAGTGGAAGTGGTTATTTGATGTGATGCAACAAAATAATTTATTAAAAATTATATTATAAAATCCAAACATTGATAGTAGAAACAACAATGATACCAAACACAACCTTAGTGAGCCATAGTGTTTCATTGGGTCTTATTGATAATTCATTTCTTTTTTCTCCCTTATTCATCTCCAAATCCTCTGTTTTCTTTTCGAGGAAAATCTGTCATGGCTGTTGGCATAGTTTTGAGCTAAAAAAAAACAATGAATCACAGCTCTTGATGCCTTGCTGTGGCCCCACCTTGATTTCATGGTTTTAGCCCTAGGCTATACACCCAAGATTCAAAATATCAATACAGGCCGATGTACTGATTTAAGGTCCGTCTACTCCTTGAACCAAATCATACCCCGAAACACACCCTGTAGAGGTGTATTAATAGCCTCCCAATATGATAGATATCGGCCAATACGGTCTGATACATATGAAATTTTTTTAACCTTGGCTACACCAGCCAGTTCTCTTTTTATATGCCCAAATGAGGAGAATACCTTGGCAGTTGAGAAACTTTTTTTTTGGCATGACATGTCAACCCATTCAGTCCATTGTTTGTATGATTGTAGCTTTGGTTGAAAGATTATCGTGGACAATTACTCTTATAGCCCCTCATGATAACGTGTCAACCCCAAGAACATTCCTAACAACCCAGACACCAAAGTATTTGCCCTTGAGAGGGATGTGCTTTTAGCTTTTCAAGGTGGGCTTCACACAGACAACCTATAAACAATGGCGAAAAATCCTAATAGCCCAAATGGGCTCTTAGGTCATTTTTAAGATGTTTACTTCAATCTCTTTAAATAGCTTATCTCGAATGCTTCAAAGCAACTAAACCAACTTAATTGATGGTCCCTTTGGTTTATTGTCAGAATCGGAATCCTTTAAAATCAGAATCAGAACAGTTTATTCCCATAATCTGTTTGATTCAGATAGGAATGGAAATTAGAATTGGAATCGATAAAAATGGGATTGTATTCTTAAGAGAGGGGCAGGAAATGACCATTCCCTCAAATGAGAAAATGTCATTCAAGCAGAAATGAGAATGGGATTTCCAATTCTGCCCAACAAAACAGTTGAAACAGAATAGCCTATTCCGATCCAATTCCAGACCCCTATTTCTATGAACCAAACAGGGCCTTGAATCTTCAGCTCAGCCCTTCTAAATGAGATCCATGTAAGGGTCTGAAATTGAAATGAGAATGGGTTCCAATTCCCACTCTTTGGTTGGACAAAATCAAAATCCCATTCTCATTCTGTTAGAATGGCATACCTCCTATTTAAGGGAATAACAATTCTCTCTCCTTTCTTAAAGAATGTAATCCCATTTCAACTTATTCCAATTCTGATTTCGATTCCTGTTTAAGAATAGAACATTCTAATTCTAATTCATTCTAATTTCAAGATGATTCAGACTGAACTCTAAATAGGCCTATATTTCTAATTTTCTATATCCTCTAAAGAAGATGGGATTTGGTTGGGTTAGAGTGGATATATCATATAAGATGGGCTCAGCTGTATCGTATTATATGTGGATGAGTATTAAATGTATGATTCGACAAATCACAGGCCTACCTCAAAAAGAATGTTTTCTTTGACTTTTTGCGGCAGGAGATACGAATTCAATGCGGACAGTCCGTCGTCAGATGGATGGGGTTTGGCTTTGTTGCCATTTTCCCCGTCAATGGTACGTCCATATTTAATTACCTAACTACCCTTTACATTAACCAGATCCATCTGGATTACTTGAACTTTGAAATTTGAATACATTCTCATCGTAGGCGTACGAAACACATCGTTCCGGACCTCCGGTTTCCGGAGACCGCCAGACCCTACCTGCTACCCAAAGCAACTTTTAACATGATCTACAGCCGCACATCTCAAACGCGCTTCCTCATTTATACTTGATGAGCGGCTAGAGCTCATGTGGGAAGCTGTGTGGATGGAGTCTCGTGCTTAACAGCTCCGGACAGATTGGCCCGGCCGGCCGGCCCGGTCTAAAATTGCAGTCTTTGTGTGAGTTGTGACTTGTTTTTGTAAACTGCTGCTTCAAGCCAACGTTTGTACACGTAGCTAGTCTGTAGGTTGCTGATCTTTCCACGTGGCAATTCAAGCCACCAGTTGTCTAGGACATATCCCTTCAGCATAATAAGTATGTATGTTACTAACGGCTAAAGCTGGGTGGCTTTGTCAGCATCATGTTACGTACATATATCCGCTGTGACAAAACTGTTCCCATTAGCTGGGCGCCTGGACCCCCGTAAAAGAACTGTCAGATTTACCAGCCAATGAGCAGATGTACGGTGAGGTGTGCAGATTCATTGACGAAGATAGACATTTCTTGCACTATTTATTTTCTCTTCCACAGCGATTTGCCCGTTATTGGTTTTAGTTTGCCACATGTCATCCATTTGCTTCATCATTCAAAGGCCCGATTCGGTTTTCTTGCCACCTGTCAGCTCTTCGATGGACTGGCCCCACTGTGTCAATATCAATATGCTCCGATTTAAAAAAAAAAAAAAAAAAAAAATTAAACGTCTTCTCTCTCTCCGTCTATTTTATCCGCATTCACAGATCTCAGAGCCGGCGTAAACAACAAACGAATACGAACAATGTAATACGGTTCTGAAACGCCATCATATATGACCGTAGGTGTTAACAGTAGTCTATCAAGCTTGATCTCCTTAATTGAAGCCTATCTGTTTATTATTTTATATTTTTTTGCTTCAATAATGAAAATTGAAAAGCACATTGCTATTTGTTTAAATTTAAAAATAGGAATCAGATTACAGAGAAGCTCATAGGACGCTTCCTAATAAATATCACTGTCTCATCTCCTCGAAAAATATCGAGTAAAAGATTTTAATTTTCAGCAAATTTGAAGGTATGGCACATGGATGGTTCCCTGTTGACCCGGAGCTAAATTGCAATGTGAAAATTATACAAAATTTAGTAAAAATGTTGATTTTAATTTCAAGTAAAGAGATGGGGTTGATTCAGAAAAACTGAAGAAAAGAAATGATGCAGCTTTTATCAGAAAAGTCGAACACCCATTAAGCCAAATAAATTCAGAGCCCAAGACCCAGATCCGTAAACGTAAATTGTCAAGCCAAACCAAGAGAAAATCGAGATGGGTTTCTCGTAGTAATCATCATCTAATAAGAGAAGAGATTTAGATGCATTCTTTTCTAAGAGACATCTGGTTTTAAGTTCTTGAGATTAGAAAGGAACAAAAATTAAACAGAGATTTAGGTACATTCTTTTTGAGCAAAATTAACACTAACTTTCAGATCTAATTACTCACCAGCGTTTTGTTCTGATTTCTGAAGCAAGGAGTTCTTGCAGTGAGTAATGGCTCCTTGAATCGCACTCTGCAACTCCTCCATTGACGATGAATCTGCATACTGCATGCTTCCAACGATGTTACCACCAAAAACTCCGCTTCGACAAAGCACACCGGAATGACTGGGCGATGACCGCGTCGAAGACGGGCAACTAGAAACACATTTTTTCCTTCGTGGGTATTTCAGGTTTCCAGAGAACGAATGAGAGAATACACTGTTGTTCTCTTTCCTCGTACTTGAAGCAGAGATTTCTCTGTTTTTCCCGGACTTCTCTGTCCTCGTCGCCAACGAAGCCACTGCTACCATCGCCGCCGTCTTCTGTTGCTGCTGCTTCTGTGATAACTTCTCGTATAAAGGTTTCACCTTTTTCAAATACTTCCTTATCACGTCCTTGGCCGACGCGCTCATCCGCTTCACAGAAGAAGGAGCCGATGCATTCTCTTGATCTCTATGCTTGTTGTTGTCTTTGCGAAACACAGAAGAGAACCTCGCTAGAGAGAAGTACTTGGATTTCTTGATCTGTGGGCTCTGATGGTGATAATTGTGGTTGAGACGCTTAAACTCGTCTTCCTCTGTCACCGAACTCGGCCGCGACGAGTCACACTCGGTGAACAAGACGAGGTCACCGGAAAAAGAGGAGCTAGAGTCATTGGAGCTGCCGGTCGAGTCTCGAGAAGCGGTGGTAGTGGAGTCGGAGCAAGATGAAGAGCTGGACGAGGCGAGCAGGAGAGTTCGAACCATGGAGAGGCGGGGAGAGAGATGGAGAGGGAGAAGCTGGCCCTTGTAGAAGAGCTCGTCGGCTGGACAGAGATTGGAGGAGGCCATTCGAGGGGATAGAGAGATGGTGAACTCGAAGTCCGACGAAGATGATGAAGAGAAAGAGTGAGCAGGGGATGAAGGAAGGGTGAGAGATTTGGGATCTTTATGTCTTCTCTTACCCATTTTCCTTACTACATGTCTATCGTTAAGCCCCTCACAGAGCAGAGATAAACAAATGCAAATAAGCCGGTTGAGATGGAGCAATGAACTTATAATAGTGGTGGACTCAAATTTGCAGAGAGAGAGAGAGAGAGTGTGAGAGGGGTGGTTCACATGGGAATTTGAACCGTCTAGTTTTTTTCTCCTCTCTTTTGGTTAGCATGTGTATGATTCAGAAACTGTCACGTGTCATGTATCTATCATTTGAGTTAGGTCTCACGTGCCACGTATGTGACTTTTCAGTTTTCACTCACCGGCTTTACTCATTTGAAGTATTCGCCATTTCGCCCTATTGGGTATTGAGTCAAGATGGGTACTTGAGTGTTGACAGCTTACCGATCCAAAAGAGTTTGAGCTTTGGAAGGATTCGATAGATACAGAAATTCACCGTCGAAGATAATTGATTTCTAACTTTTTGACCATCTTGTATTTAGATAACGATGGGGGAGGATTGCCAAGGGTTTGTCCTTCTCACGCCAAAACTGTTGGATCAGAACTTTTTAGTTGGGGGCTATGAGGATGCATAGATTAGGCCTCAAACCTAGAATTGTAGACCCATCAAAAGGCTCTTATGTTGGAAATTGGACTCTTTAATCTCGCTTCCCCAAATTCCTTATACATTCCAAAGTTGTCATGGCGTTTGGGATATGCAAGCAGTGGTCTTGTTTCAAACTTTGATGACATGGAATTTTTTTTATAATTTTGGCTCATGGCTTGACCGATTGGAAAGTTTGGTGGTTTCGGGGTGTCCATGAAAAATCGAATCGAATCGAGAATATGGAACCGGAAAATATGATTAAGTGAATTGATTCGATTTGATATTTTTGAAAAATCGAAGTATCAGTTCCATTTTCGGTTAACTTAAAAAACTGATACTTAATCGAATCGATCAATATATGCATATATATATATATATATATATGTGTCACATTTTTTATATATTATATATAAATATATATTTATATTATATTTATAATAATCTATTTATAAATATATTATATATCATTTATTATTGTTAATATAATATTATACATATATTTATATAATATATATTATAAATATAAAAAACTGAAAAACCGAAGAATCAAACCGGTCAAAAATTGAAATCGACGGACCGGTTAATTGATGGTATCGGTTCGATTTCGGTTTGGAGAAATGAAAAAACGGGTCGTACTAGTTAAGTTTGCAAAAATTGCCCATAGTTCGGTTAACTGAATTGTGGACACCCCTAGTGGGTTCGTGTCGAGTTGAGTAAACATCTTCCATTAAAACTCCGATCGGGAAAAAAAACGAGGGTCGATAGATATGGGATTTCATGATTTTGCTCACTATTTGGATCGTAAATTATTAAGGGTTTCTATCATATAAGGGCAACTTTTGTGGTTTAATATCAATAAAAGTAATGTAATTAAGAAAATTTCAAAAATAGGTTAACTTTTTAAAAATAATATCAATAAAGGGCAAAAATACTATTCATCTTCTTCTTTTTGCCCTTTGTTCATCAAAATCGTTGCCTCCGCCTCCAGTAAAGTTGTCAGAGATGGGTGGAGACAGAGGTGGCGGCGGCGGCGGGCAAAGGAATGACTACCAGCGCCGTCGCCGCCACCTCTGCCTCCGACCACTTTCGGCAACGTTGCCGGAGGCGGCGGTGGGTGGCAGCGGACGGCGGTGGCAGGTGGTGGCAAATGGTGGTTCTAGTGAACAAATGGCAAGAAGAAAAAGATGAACAATGTTTTTTTCTTTTTATTGATATTATTTTTAAAAAGTTAACCTATTTTGAATTTTTTTTAAATATATTACTTTTATTGATATTAAACCCCAAAAGTTACCCTTATATGCTATTACCCCAATTATTAATTACCGTAAATTATTAGTTTGGATAAATTCGAGTTGAATCGAGTCAAATATCTGATTATTTAGTTCCTTGAGTCGAGTCAAATATCTGATTATTTAGTTTTCTTTGCCAAAAAAATATGAGGTTTAAATTTAAATTTGAAGAATTTTTTATTATGAACTAAGATTCTTATAAAAAATAAAAAATTATACAGATAAAAATTAATATTTTATTTTGCATATAGAAATTAAGAATTATAATATATATTAGTGGATTTTTTTTTGATAAATATATATATGAGTGGAATTTTATTGAACTCGAATTCAATTCGAAACGCCTTAAAAAAAATTCAATTCGAAACTCGATTTAAACCAAACCGAATTATACATTTTATAAATTCAACTCGAATAACTTATGAAAAGCTCGATTTATATTTACTTTATTGATAATATTGTGTTTTCAAACGGTTCAATTTGCATTATTGTGGAGCCACAAAAGAGAAATGAGGGGGTTGGTTGTCATTTTATTGAATTGGGTCCAAATCAACAACAGCAAGTCTACTAAGATCAACTGTTCTGTACCCTTCAGTTCTTCCAAATAAACAGAGTTAAGCCTTAGAAGGACAGAAGGACAGCATCAGTTGTCCTCCCAGGGAGGATCCCAGTAAAAGTTCCAATCCAATAGTGAATACAACATGTTGAAAGAGATGTCTTCCTTGTAAGGACGCTATCAGCACCGGCACCGGCCCTTCCATTATCATATGTTGGGAATGTTCTTCAGGAATGCTGAACCTGTTTACCCATAGTAGAAATCTTGGTATTTACCAAAATGCCACCACCTTGGGCTGCCATTGATCGGATCGACCGGGTAGACCTTGTGATTTTTTTTTTTATTAAGGTTTAAAATATCAACATGTATTGGTCAATATGTATTATACTGATGGCTTTCTGATATGTCCATATAGAGGTTGTATCAGGTCAACCACTAGTTTAGAGWGTAACTGAGCTTTAAACCAGTTCTGAACCAATTTCAAAAAAAAAAAAGTAAAACATTAAAAAAACACCGACATTGGGCATACAGCATGTGTCAATATTTAGAACCTTGATTCTCGTTTGTGATTGACCAACCCAATTTTCTAAATGCATACATACACATATGGCCAATGAGGGAGATGAGCCCCATTGTTTAATGTATTCTTCACATTTACCATTAACCATTTCAAAACTGGGACTTATGTGTTTCACTGTTTTTGATGGTGCAGATTAGGGTTATAAATGGATCAAATTTAATTGCGTTCATATTTGTATCCAATTATGAAACCTGATGTGGCGCAATCCGGCTGCTCCCTGCAGGAGATGATCTGGCTATCGGCAACGACGGGCTCGATGAACCTGTAAAAGATGAACCAGAGAACCTGGGGTTGTTTACCTGGCGGGGTCGCTCCGATGCTTTAAGTTAGCACTTGGTTGCGAGCTGAAAATGATATTAGATTGTGAGAGAGCTAAAGAGCAGAGATTATGCCTCCTTCTTCACCCGTAGGGGGTGAGGTTTTTATAACCGGAGCCCTCATGGGTTTGGCGGAATAGTTCCTGGATCCCCATTGTGATGGGATCTGTTTCCGTGTTAGTTGGGGATAACGCCACCAACTGGTAAGGTTGCCCATCTCCGCCCGAATTGGAGAGTGGGTGAGCTAATATAGTCGTTACAAGGTACGATCCCGTAAGACGCGGGGTACGATGGTGAGATCCTTGGAATTACCACGTGGAGGTCGGTCTAACTGGGAAGCGAACTGGCCGTAAAGTGCCAGGCTGCATAGTGGCGAGCTGCCTGTGAGGTGTCGAGCTGCTCGGTGGCGAACTGCCTACTAAGTGTCGGGCTGCTTGGTGGCGAGCTGCCCGTAAGGTGCAAGACTGCATGGTGTCGAGCAGCCTGTGAGGTGTCGGGCTGCTTAGTGGCGAACTGCCTATAAAGTATCGGGCTACACCTAGTTGTCATGAGGTACCATGTGTCACAATGTCATTGGAGGGCCAAATCCGCCCTCATCAAAACCTTTAGATCGACATCTACATTCGATTATCATGTTGGATTTCGGTGTATTCGGATTTGATTTATAATCATCTTATTGTGTTTAAAATGACCAAATAATTAGAAAGTCAAAAACTAATTATTTTTATCTTATATATGTATTTGTAATAAATACATATGAATATTAAATATTAAATTTATTGATTATAAACTTTTTATAATTATATAGACTATATGCATATATAAAATAATAAATATTTATTAAATCAGATAAAGTTAAATCTGTATCCGACGTAATTATTAATTGAATGCACGTTTTAACATTCAAATTCAAAATAATAGGATTCAGAGTTGATTCGCGTATCAAGACTTTAAGAGTACATTGAAAGCCCTTAACTCATTAGTTCATTGCCAATATAAGACACAAATACCCTTAACAAGGATATATTTATATATAAGTTCTAAGGCGTGGGATTTTGGGTGGTCTAGATTCACTGTCTATTAACTCTATATAGTTGGTGGGGAATCCCTCTCGAACAGAAAAGCTTGCTTGTTTCCCCCAAACAGCCAAACTCAGTCTCTCATTAGTCAGTGCCGACAATGGGCAATAGGAGGTTGGATAAGATTATTCGATCAAAGAAGTTGACACCTGGCAACATCGCCTAACTTTCCAACTTATTCAACGTGGAAATGGATGAATGCCAATGCCGGAATGGGTGTAATAAGAGGAAAATTGTCCCAACAGGCCAACACTTTGATGAATTTCTCCGACCAAGACACGGTGGGTCATTTCTCACCCTTTTTGTTTCTGTCATAGGGCTTCCCTTCATTTTGACACGTTAGCTATCTTTGGGACTTTGGGACTAAAGAGAATGTACAAGAAATATATATATTTCTGCGCTCAAAGAATTCTGAATCACCATTGAATCAGCTTGACCAGGTGAAATCAACAATTGTTGCTCTGTTTTATTCCTTTAAGACTAGTGAACAAACCAGACGATTGATTTTCTTTTTAAATGCACATTTTTGTATTTTCTTAGGTGGAATCCATTAGTGGTGGGAAGTCCTGATTCACTGAACACTGGATACATGACAAGGTAGGAGAGGTCCCAGGCTCCCAGCCCATTTCCTTAGTGCTATATCACCAGTGCTTACAAGATCCTCCTTACTATTTCGGAATCTAATGGGCAGCAGGGTGCATGGTTCATTAGGGTCGGGCTGGTCAGCCACTTGAATCCTGTTTTTTGCC